AGCAGCGCGAGGAGGCGGAGGCGGCGGCGGGCGGCGAGGAGGCCGCCGTGGCGCTGGGCGCCGAGCACAGGAGCCGGGAGCAGCTCATCAGCGACCGCATCGGCTACAAGCCGCAGCCCAAGGCGGGCGGCCGCGCCGCGCACTTCGGCACCTTCGAGTTCTAGCGGCGGCGCCCGCCGCTCCCCGCGCCGCCTTTTAAATAAACGTGTCGCGTTGCAAAGGCGCGCGAGCCGCCGTGGCCGGCGCGGGAGCAGGAGCGAGCGGGTGAGGCCGCCGCCTGGAGCGCCTGCGGGATCTGCGGATCCGGGACGGGGAAGGGCGGAGGCGGCAGGATGCGCTCGTGGAGGCCGGCCGCACCGGCGGGATGCTGCACCGACGGGATGCTGCACCGGGCGGCCCGCGAGCCACGGAAGGCCGGAAAGGAGCTGCCAGGACCGTTAAAACGGACCGGTCCCAAAGGCGGCTCGCGAGGTGCTTTGGAGCCAGTGGCCCCGCTGCGATGTGGGCTGTTTCCTTGGAGGGAAAAGGCCACGGAGCTCAATGCAGCAGAACATGCCGGGTATCTGGATATGGAACAATATTCCATAGTTTCTGAATAAACTTGCCCTCCCCTCTTCCTTTAAACATGTTCCCTTCCATTCCAAGCTGGCGAGTGCATCATCCTGCCCACACTGCTCTGTAGCAGGAGTTTGTCACTGGGATCAAAGGTTACCAAATAGCTCCTTATTGATGGCATTGTGTGAAAAATGGGAAGGTGTTTCCTTTCGCAGAGTGACTCATGAGCAAGTACCCAGATTGGTACCAGGGACTGGTGCTGCTGTCAGTTGGATGGGTACAAAACTTAAAAAGTAAGAAAAAAATAGGGCTTTGAAGAGGAGCCTGGGATGACTGCGTGACCTAAAGGCAGCAAAATAAAAAATAGAAGGAAGAGGTTGTCAGTGTTTAAAAACCTTAGGGATGGAATGGGAGGGGTTCCCTACTCCTGTAGAACGTGTTTCTGACCATCTTCTAGCACAGAAACCAGTAATATTTTAAATGTCTTAAGCAACACAGTTCCAGCCATCTCCCTGGCAGGATGTTCCACAGCCTGTTACTCTCCCTGCCTCTTGTTCAGCAGCCCGGCCTTGCTGCTGACCTGGAGCTTGTTCCCAGGCTGTCCTCAAGCCTGTCCCTTGACGGTGTTCCCTGTACAAAGGACTGAGCTGTGGGACCTGCGGCCCTGTGAATCCAGCAGCGCTTCCGAAGCCTGGAGCCATGAAGTGCAGTGCAGCAGGTGCTGAGGACGCGGGCGCGCTGCTCGTGGGAGGTACGTGCCCGTTTGGCCACTGCAGCGTTTCTGCCTGTGCCCAGTTTGGAGCATTGGCTGGAGAAACCTGTGGAGCCGGAACATGGCAGAGCTGAGTGGTACAGAGCTGCCCCTGAAACATGCACAGGCTCAGGATGACCCACTTCAGTGATAATCTGATCACATTAAGAAAGAGAGATGGGCCGGTAAGTGTTGGAAAGAGCAACAGCCTGGGAGGATGTGCAGTGGTGTGAGGGGACGTGAGACTCTCAGCTTCTCTTGCTGTTTCACGGTAGGTTTGGATAGCAGTAGGGTAAGGGGCAAGTTTTTTATTGAGCAGTGACTGCTCAGGGACAATTATTTGCAACACAAATATGCACTGCCCGCCTGAGAACCCGGGGCAGAATTCAGTTCATGCTGTAATCTCTGAGGTTTTGGTTTGCCATTTGATTTGCTGACATTTGCAGCCCTTCTGGCTGCTGCTGTTCCTCCCCTGGGGAAGCGCTTCCCTCCAGTTCAGCAACCCCGCTGCCTCTTCAGGGATCACCTCCCTGCAGCCTCAGTCTGACTCAAATCTCTGGATCCCCAAAAAAGTTCATCTCTGTTGCTGTGACATTTTTTTCTTTCCCTATTTTCTCCTCCTATGTCTAACTGAATTTCTCGTTTGAAAGAGGAAAAAAAAAAGGAAAAAAAACCCATGCTGACATGTTACTCCTCCTTTCCAGCACAAGAGGAGGCTGCATGCCCTTAGGCAGCCGCTTTTGGTGAAACTCCAGTTCATTCTGATTTCAGCCCACAGCTCAAGCTAACACTACCCACGTGTTCCTAAAATCAAACTTTGAGCGTAACCCCCTTGGAAGGGCTGTACCCACCTCACAGTTAGTGATCACAGCCCTGTCCTGGGCATATGCAAAAACCCCGTAGTGGTAGATTAGTTAATGTAAGAAACATTTTTGCCCCTGAGTTATGTTTTCCTAACATAACTCCATTGAGTTATGAGCTCCACTGAGTCTGAGCTACACTGAGCTCCAGACTTGCCTCGGTGCCACAGCCTTGTGTGATTCATCCGATCTCAGGGCAGGCTGCAGAAATGCCCAGATGTTACATCCCTTCCAGTCCCTTCAAACTGGACAGAGTCACAACGTGGACTAGAGCAGATCTGGTTCTGCCATCTCAACCACGTGAAATGACGGGCGTTGCTCTGCCAGGCAGGCATTCCCTGTGTGCCCTAGCTCTGACAGGAAACATCTTCAGAGCAACTTTCTGTTGGGGGTTGCAGAAAGAAAACCAACCCAACCCCATTTTTCCTGTGTAGATAAACATAAACTGCAATAAAAGACTAGGAAGGAGAGTTCTGGGCTTCCTTACTAGGTATGCATGTTTCCCATGGCGGTGTGGGTTTATTCTCCCCCAACTCTGTGTCCTTTTGCCTCATGCAGGGTATTGGAAAGCAGATCTGGGAGGCACTAGATCCTCTTTGCATCTCGCCTTTCCCCAAACTCAGTAAAATTCAAGTAGATTAAAACAAAATGCTACCTCTGAGTGAGTGATTTCCAATATTCCCCCTCCAGCAGCCTCTGGGTTATTGCTCAAGGGCCCGGAAGATGACGCTGCTCTGTTCCCACCTGCGGGCAGGCGAGGCCCCGAGTGCATGGAGGCCCAGAGAGGCTACAGGAAAGGCTGGGGGGCTCCTGTGGCCACCTGCACATGGAGGCCTGGGGAGGCTGCACGAATGCCTGTTTGGCCCCTGGGGACACGTGTGCACAGCGCCACGGGAGGCCGCACAAAATCCCAGAGGGCACCCGGTGCCATGGGTGCACGGAGGCCCAAGGAGGCCGCATGAAAGCCAGGAGTTCCCCTGAGGCCATGCGCACATGGAGGCACCTGTAGGCTGAACAAAAGCCCTGGAAGTCCTTGGGGCCACAGGCACATGGAGGCCTGGGGCGGCCGCACGAAGGCCTGGAGGGCCCCTGGGGCCACATGCACATGACGTCCCCGGGGACGTCACATGAAAGTCTGGAGGGCCCCCAGAAACACGTGTGCAGGGATGCCGAGGCAGGATGCACAGATGCCTGTTGGGTCCACGGGGACACATGCGCACGTAGGTCTGGGGAGGAAGCATGAAACCCTGGAAGACCCCCAGGGCCACGAGCACAAGGGGGCCACACAAAACACCAGAGGGATCCCAGGGGCCACGGGTGCATGGAGGCCCAGAGAGGCCACGTGAAGTCCAGAGGTGCCTTGCGGCCAGATGTGTGCGGAGGTCCAGGGAAGCTGCACAGAAGCCAGGAGGGTCCCCAGGGCCACATGAGCATGGAGGCCTATGGAGGCCACACAAAAGCCTGGAGGGACCCTAGGGCGTGTACGGATGCCCCGAGTGCTCCCAGGGCAACATATGCACGGATGGTGGCAGAGGCCACACTAAAGCCCAGATGGACCTGAGGCCCAGTGCGCACCGAGGCCTCAGGAGGCTGCACAAAAGCCTGGAGGGACCCCGGAGCCATGTGTGCACGGAGGCTCCAGAAGGCCGCACGAAAGCCTGGAGGGATCCCCTCGCCATATTAGCATGAAGCCCCAGGGGAGCTGCACAAAAGCCCCAAGGTCCCCAGGGACATGTGTGCATGGAGACCCAAAGAGGCAGCACGAAAGTGCGGAGGGCCCCTGGATCCACAGATGCACAAAGGCCTGGGGAGGCCGCATGAAAGCCCAGAGGGCCCCTGGAGACACGTGTGCATGGGGGCCTAGGGAGGCCACACCAAAGCCCAGAGTGCCCTCAGGGACACTGGCACACGGAGACCTGGGGAGGCTGCACGAAAGCCTGGAGGGGCCTCGGGGCCATTGGGCACGGAGGCCGCATGAAATGCCGGAGGGAAACCCAGCCCACGTGCGCATGGAAGCTTGGGGAGACCACTCGAATGCTCAGAGGGTCCCTGGTGACACGGACACACGGAGGCCCAGGGAGGCCTCACGAAAGCCCAGAGGGCTCCCAGTCCATGGACGCACCAAGGCCCAGGGAGGCTGCACAAATACCTGTGCGGCCCCGGGGGCCATGTGCACACAGAGCGCCAGGGAGGCCGCCCAAAATCCCAGAGCGCCCCAGGGACACGGGTGCACGGAGGTTCAGGGAGGCCACATGAATGTCTGAAGGGTCCCCGGGTCCACGGGTGCATGGAGGCCCAGGTAGGCCACACAAATCCCCGGAGGGCCACGAGGGCCATGGATGCACAGAGCCCCGTGGAGGCCGCACGAAAGCCTGGACGGCCCTCGGGGACACGGGCACACGAAGGCCCGGAGGGATCGCACAGATGCTCGGAGGGCTCTCCGGTCTTCTGGGACCTCCCAGGACAGCTGATAGAGAGCTTGCCAAGTACTTCTGCCAGGTCCTCAGAACCCTCAAGTGGATCCCATCAGGCCCCATAGACTTGTGGGTGTCCAAGCGCAGGCTCTTGGACTCTTTCCTCCTGGGTTTTAGGGGGTTTATTCTATAGGTGTCTTCCAGCTCTGGGAGCCAAATACCTTGAGGATAACTGATCTGGGTATTAAAGACTGAGGCAAAGACGGCATTAAGTACCTCAGCCTTATCCTCATCCTTGGTGATAATGTTTCCTGTCACCTCTCAAAAAGGATGGAGATTCTCCCTGGGCCTCCTCTTCTTGTTTATGTATTTGTAGAAACACTTTTTTGTTGCCTTTTCCAGCAGCGGATAGATTGAGTTCCATCCAAGTTTTTGTCCCTCTGATTTCCTCCCTGCATACCCTAGCAGCTTCCTTGTACTCTTCCTGAGTTGCCTGTCCCTTCTTCCAAAAGTGGCAAACTTTTTTTCATGGAGTTTCAGTAATAGGTCCCTATTCAGCCAAGCCAGTCTGCTTCCCTTCCAGCTCATCTCTTTTGACACAGAGGGACAGCCTGGTCCTGCACCTTCAAAATTTCCTTTTTGAGAAAAGTCCAGCCTTCCTGGACCCCTTTACTCTTCAGGACTGTCTCCCAATGGACTCTCCCAACCAATGTCCTAAACAGTCCAAAGTCCACTCTCCAAAAGTTCAACACAGTAGCTTTGCTGAGGTCCCTCCAGACTTCACCGAGAATTGAAAACCCTATCATTTCATGGTGCCCAAGATGGCCTCCAACCCCCACATCTCCCACTAGTCCTCATCTGTTGACAAAGAGCAGGTCTAGCAGGACTTCTCCTCTTGTAGGCTCCTTTAGAGCTATGGTACGAAGTTCTCTCCCATGCACTCCACACACCTCCTAGATTGTTCCCTACTGCTGCATTGCATATCCAATAAATATCCGGTAGGTTGACGTTCCCCATGAGAACAAGAGATTTGCAGGTATCTTCCCAGTATCTACTGCTATGCAGTATTGTTATGCAGTAAGAATCCCTGCCCTATACCCAGCCTTGCCATGAGTGCTCTTCAGGACAGAGTTATTTCACACAGAATTGAAAATGAATTGACTGATTTTAGATTATCATTGGCTTTGGCACCACTTAGAGAAATTGAGAGGTTTGTCTTAAAATCTCTCATGATAACAATGGGAAAAAGAAGAAAAAGATTTGAGGGATCCTTCCTCTTCTTGTTCTCCTTATCCCACTGCCTGTTAATGGAGTGGACAATGGGATAGAAGCAGTGCTTTAAAATGCCCCATTCATCTCCCTTGCCCAGAATTCCCAGAAGAGTGAGGGGTCATGCAGCTCCTCTGTGACATGCTCTGGGGTCACAGTGGGAAATCTCACATCACAATGATAGCTCCCTTCTCCCCACTGTAACCTCAGCATCTCCCCACACTTCCCAGTAAGGATGGAGTGAACTCAGGCACTGTGATTGTGCTCACCACTACTCCACTCTGGAGCAACTGCTTTACAATGGACAGGAGAAAGTGAAGGGAGGCAGAGGGACAAGACTGAGGGCAGTTTCATGAGGAAGAAAAGGTCAGAGAGGAGAAAACTCTTAAGAGGGAACAAGCAGACTGACTTTCACCCTTCTGCTGCAGGCTTTGACCTCTAGTGGATCAAAGATGGCAAAATACCTGCTATCTGGCGCCTTGAGTTCTAAACTGTCACCAACAGTTATGAAGCTGAAAACCAATGGTAATGTCTTCAGAAGTTCTTTCTTAAGTGTTGGCATAGACAGCAATAACTACCAAAACCCTGGGCCTCAAGGGTTGGACAAGACTGGTGGCTCCAACAGGGGCCCTGTCTGATGATGCCTTACGGCTCAGGGGTCATTGTGGCTGCCAGGACTCCAAGGCCCTTGTTCATACTCTGTCCACAGTCAGAGATTCTGACACTGTCCTAGACTCTGCCCCAGACTTCTCCTGGGGTCAGAATCAAGGATTTAGTCTGGAGTCAATCAAGACCTCATCTATGCAGTTCTCATGAAAGAAGAATATCTTTGGGGCTTGCGTCTGCTGCCTTTCTTGGTTGAACTGAGTGGTGAAGAGATTGATTGCTCAGCGATTGACCTATCTATCATTTATTTTCCAGAGTTCAATAAAATCTGGACTTGTACATCCTCTTACCTTAGTCTACAACTCACACTTTACCAGGTGGGACCCACCTCCTGTTCCTCCCCTCACACCCTAATGGTGTCAGTCATCTTAATATCCCCATGTCATGCAGTGCAGTTATTCTTCCTGCCCTTTGGAAGCCAGAGAATGCCCAGAACCACAGACACCATGGCTGACTAATGTGCCGTAGACCAGATTCCCTGTCAGTTGAGATAAACGTGAATGTCCAAGCACAATTTCAGAAAGTGATGGACACTTTCTGAAATGTGCATTGGTCCCCTCTAGTCAAGGGATCACTACTTAATTTTGACTATAGCAAACAGTTCTTAGAGAATGAAGACTAGGAAGAGGAAAACCTGCAGACTGTGTAGGTCTTTGCCAAAGCTCCCCAAACGCCCAGTTCAAGTACAAGCTTTTCCACAACAAGAATGCTTCACATTATATTTTCCTTTTTCAGCCTGTCAAAATTGATGGACTGGGGACATTTGCTGTTGTTAGAGAGCGAGTACAGAATAGAAAGAATGACCTTGTGGTTGTTGAGAGACCAGTGTTTCATCTTTCAAGGGCTCTTGCAAAGGCTCATGATCTCCCATATGACAACAAAGATATTCCTGGTAAGAAGGAAAGTACCTTTGCCCACTGTTGCAGCAGCATCTGGAGTGATACTCTTCCTTCTGTGTACCCTGCCTTGTCTTTGCTGTGACCACCAGCCTGGGGGAGGTCACTGACAGAAACAGTGGAGACATTTGCAGATTAACTTGGGGGGTGAACAGGAATGAAGAGAGAAAAATTTTAAGGCCTATTATGAAATCCTTCCATTTTCATTCTTCATTCCAGCTATTTGACATGCCATGGCTAATTTTCTTCAAAACCAAAGCATATCGCCTAAAATAACAGATGCATTACAGTGTATTATGGAGACTGGTTCCATCCTCATTGCTTGTCTTGCTGTCCTGTGTACTGTTCATATTAGGAGCATGAAAGGCTTTCTTCCTGTATTTATGTCGAAGAAATTATTGCTGTCCCCATAGCATCTCAATTGTAAGAGAACTTTGAACTTCTTCCAGGAAGGGCGTATCAACAAGATAACCCTGTAACCTATATCACCTCTAGTCTTGGCAAATACTGATTCTTTATTTTGTTTACCATTTCAGTAATGCTTTGTTCTTGTGCTGCTTTCCAGAACGTAACCACGCTGAGCAATTGCAGTACGCTCGGATAGCCTCGGACATGTCCGTTTCTCAGAGGACAGTGCAGGACTGCATAGAAAAGACCATGCGTCTTTTCTCTCTCTGCATAGAAAATGGCAAGAATGTTGCCTTCGTTTTGAATGACATTGGCATGCTTGTTATCCAGGGGAAAGATGTGAAAATAAGATTCTATAAAGACTTTCTGAAAAGACTGAATGGGACTGAAAAAATGCTAGAAACTCTTCTTGGGGTAAGATTTTGATTTCTCTAGTACTACTTGGAGTTCTTATGCAGTTCATTTAAAGGACAAAGGAACTTATAGCTCTTCTTTCCAGAAGCGGTCTAGGTTCTGGGACTAGACATGGACTATAGCTCCCTGTAGCCTTTTTTCACATTCAGAGGTCTTGGCAGCAGAACGACGTAAGAAAAACTATGTTGGGTCCAATCAAAGACTCCCTGACCTCCCTGATATGCTCAGGGGCTTTGGGCAAAAGCCTAAGAAGAGCTCAGCCCTCAGTGGTATTTCCCATTATACTTCCCTTCCAGAAAGCCATTTGGGTTGGTGCTGCTCTGAGTTAACAGCATCAGGTGCTTATTAATGAGTTGCAGCTTTGATGGTGTTTGGGGTTCTGAGGCAGAGAATTTGGCAATTTCATCATCTGTTGCACACAAACATTTCTGAACCCCATGTTAGAAAAGGCATGTCTGATCATTTCATGGAACAACCCTGAGTTCTTGTGCCAGGAGAAGTCCTCATGCCCCCTCACCTTCTCCCTGTCCAGCATGACTTTCACTTTCCTTGACCAAGACCAAGAGGTGCGGGCAGACAGAGCCCCTCATTCCCTCTGAGGGAAGGGACACGCAGCTATGCTCCAGACAGTCCTGGTTCCCAGCTCTGGCTCTTGCAACTAGCTCTTATCTTTAGGGTCTTTATGGGCATTTTTTTTCTGGCCTTTGCTCCAGCAGATCCCCATCCAAGATCCAGACCCCCTCAAATATTTGGCACTCCCAGGTCTTAAAGCAGTGCAATGGAACAGGAAGGGCTATGCCTCTCTCTAATCCCAAGTGGCATATGTAGTCATTTGCACTCAAGGAGAGCCTTGCAGTTAAGCCCACATCTGAGTTCTTTGTTCTGCATTCTGTAACGGTCACAACAAAACAACAGACAAAAGCCAGCACCCAGAAATGTCAGCTAATCAAATCTATGACAAAAGAATGGGCCTCCTAACTGAGTCTCATGATTCTTGCCCTCAGAAAAAAAGCCTGAGAATTATCTACTTAACAGCTTCTCCTTATTACTGTTAGTACTGTTAATGGAGGTGGTGGCAGGGTTTCAGAAGCACAGGAACTGGAGAGTGGTTTGATACTTCTGTGAGAAACAAGACGATTTTCTTGGTATTATCTGACATGTCTCTGTCACTATTGCAGATGCCAGATATGAAGGATTCTGTCCTGTCAGGCACTGAGACTGCAGCTTCCCAGACCCGCTCTGGAAGTGTCATTGTCTTTCCACAGTGAGTATGTCGGGTTCAGATTCTCCTGGCTGACTGAGTTGGGACCTTCTCTGGTTGTGCATATGAAGTCCTCTCAGGAGGTTAGATTCAGAACTAACGAGCACTGGAGCTTTAGGATGCATGGCACAGTTTTGGATATAGTCTAGAATGATGCTGTATATCTGCATATTCCACTCTGTTACCAGAGATACTACATTAGCTCTCCAATATCTTTGTGACCAGATTGTTAAGACAAGTGCAAGGCAAATATGGAGCTCTTATTCAAACTGGAGCCTTTTGGTTTCCAGGTATGAACTTCAGATTGTGCGACCTGCCGTAGAAGGACCCGCAGAGCTCACCCAAGAACAGGAGACAGATAAGGATGCTAATGACAACAAAAAAGGTAGGGGAGCAGCTGACAGCGGGGAACAGCTGACACCTGGGAAGTGTTTGAACATTTCCTCATTGATGGGACATTATAGGCAAGGCTACAGTATAATGCATATGCAGCTTCATTACATTTTGAAAGTCATGGTTTCCAACTCTGCTTTCGCAAACACACAAATCTCTTTGAGCTGAACACACCAAAAGAGTGAACTTGCACAAAAGAGATCAGTAGAGAGATCCCAAAGTGTTTTCATCTCATGGAAAATTCTCCCTCCTTCCCCAAAAGGTTCCATTTAGTCACCTGCATTTTTCAGCAAGGCCTCCTCCTGCTTTTCACAATATAGATGAGAGGAGCTAGTAGTTTCAGAATTCCTCAGGGAATTATGTTACTCTGTTGAAATTAAAAGCTGGACGAGATTCAGTGCCAAGAAAGGCATAAAACCTCATAGGAAACATGGCTGCAGTGGGGATGGCCTTGCACAGTTTCATCACATATGCACATCATTTCTGTTAAAATGGTCACAAAGAAGCTGTTTGAAGAGTTCTCTGCTTTTCTGCTTACAGGGACACTTCTTGCCAATCACCTTCTCTCTAGAGAGAGGCATTCTTCACTCATAAAGACTTCTGTTGATAAGGAAGAAGAAAAGATGCAGAAAAATAAGGGAAAAGGGCTTCCTGGCAGGTCAGACTTGTGGGAAACAGATATGAGGGACCCTGTGCTCTCACCCTTTTTAGGAGTGAGAGGTTTTCCTGAGACACAACGTCTGGGTTAGCTCTGGCAGGTAATAGTTTCCTTATTGGGTAATAAGAGCATTAATGAAGCTGCCAGGAGGGACCTGTGGCGTCAGCGCACTGAAAGGATAAACAGGAGCCTCTGTTCCCATGACACTGTCCTCCTTGATCTACCAAGAGAAGGCCTAATTTGGGCATCCTGGAGTTTCTCAGGAATTTTATGCCACATATTGATGGGGTGTTGGGGTTTTCTGTCTGTATTTGAAGGTATTCAGTTGAATGCTACAATCCTCCAGCAGACCTAGCTGCCTTCTGCTGTAGGTGCAGGGGCACACCTTGTGAGCCCAAAATGTAGGACAAACTCATACAGACATATTCTGTTTTGCCTCTTTAGTCAACCATCACCAATTCAGTATATCTCAGTGAAGAAGGAGGAAGACAAAAAGAAAGAAATCTCTTATTCTGGACCACAACTTGTAAACTTCATTGCTGAAGCTCTTAAGACAAAAGATCAGGTATATTATAGGGAGTGATGTAATGCTTGCCTTGTAGTTTATTGTATAAAAGCACAGTTTTATGACCATTGAGTCTGAAAAGATGCTTCAGTGTTTGCTTATTTGAATATTAAGTGACTTCTTATGAAGCCCACTTTAAAAGAGGTGGGTGACTGTATGTTTGGAAGCTGTTCCTGATTTCTGCTGTCTCATGAATTATATCAGAACACCTTCCTTGCCACTATTCAAAATGAAGTTCAAAATCCAAATGACAGGCTTTTATGGCACAGGGATTAGGAGTCTTTTAGATCACTGGTTAGTTCACGCCTTGATTGAGGCCATGATAATTCAGGAGTGAAAAAAAAGATCTGACAAAAAGGAACAGGAAAGAGGGTAATAAATAAATAATAATGAAAAATATAAAAAAGCAAAAGCAGATGAGACTGACACTACTGCGCTTACCTTTCTGTGGTACTCCAGAGAAGAATTCTCCAGGTTAAGAAACGACACCAAAGAGGTCTCCGTGAACTTCAAGCTGTAGAAAGACAAAAGAAGAAAGAATGGCAAAAGAAAGAGAAAGACAGAAGGAAAGAAAAGGAAAAAGTGTCACCACTGATCCCTGGGAGAGGAAAGGATAAGCCACAGAGGGCCAGGGTACTGGCAGCGTTTTAAAATATACAGGGGAAAAAAAGCACATCCCTCTTTCAGAAAAGCTTGAGATTTCAAGTTATTTCAAGTATTCATGGAATTGTTACTGCAAAATGGCAGCATAGGGAACAGTAGTCTCATGAGAAATGGGGGGCAATTTAACAATCCAGTGAAACCCTGGTCAGGCTCCAGCATCCAACTCCTAGCCATGCTGAGGCCCTTGTTCTAGTTCCCCCTCTACTCTCACTGTACCCTGGCCAGAAGTCACTTCTGGGATCTGTATGCTGACAAACAGCTCGTTTTCATCTTCTTTGCAGCGTACTTCTCCCTTCCTTTGCAGAAAGCAACTCAAAGCCCTTCTGCCAGCATGAGGAGGAAGGTGACCAGCCCAGATCTCATAGAGAGAATGATGGGAACCATGAAAGAGGATGGAGAATCATCTTCAGAGGACGAGGGTGACAACTCACTGGCAATACCTTCCAAAAGGTAAGTGTGGCAGGGGCAGCTGAGTAGCAAAGACCCATCTGCAGGGCCAGGGATCCTAGTTCCCGAGCCATGGCCATCCTCTGAGCTGTCAGGTCATGAGGGGACCTGGGGTCAGAAGCCCCAAACTCCAGTTGCCTTTCTGCAGCCCCAAGCAAATGCCTAAACCTCATCCTGAGTTAAAGAGTGCTGTGGGCACCAGGGAAACTCTACGTGCAGGGCCTGGGGAAGGTAAAAGGAAGGAAGGTGTCAACCAGAGTGTGAGAGAGTGTTTCTCCATGTTATCATAGGACAATTTCCCCAGGGACGAACCAGGCCCTGCGCAAGGTAGTGACATGCATCCTGGGACAGGTTGACAGAAGCCGGAGAGGACACAGACATGAAGAGAAGGATCGAGAAGATAAGCTGAAGTGGTAACTATATCCAGATATGGGAGGTTCCCCTCAGGCAATGCCCTTCTGTCCACCTCCACCACCCCCAGGAGAAAGAAGGGCTGCTCCCAACGATTGCTTCTCTGTTAGAGCCACCTTCTGCTGCAAAGATGAATGCCCAGCCTGGGAGCAAAGGATCAAGATCTTCCCTGTGCTCCCATTAACTCACCTATTTGTGTTTCTGCAGTGAGCTCGCTGTTTTGCAGTGGCAAATGTCCAGGAAAAAGAAAGATCAAGCCAATGACATTCCTGTAACTGGACCCAAATCTACACAAGCAATTTGTGACAGTCATGAGAGATCAGAACAGGTACATGATAAAGAGTGATGTAATTCTTGTGTCATGATTCATTGTCAAATAGCACAGTTATATGTCTACAGAGTTGTAAATATCTACATTTAGTCATTTGAACATCAAGTGATTTCTTTTTGAGCTTCCTTTAAACCATATATGTTCAATTGTTGTATTTTTGGAATCTGTTCTTTGCTCCTATCAGTTATTCAGCATATGAGACCATCTTCCTGACACCATCCTTAATGGAGATAAAAAGGCACTGTTCATAGTGAGAATAAAAATGCCAGGCTGAATAGAAATTCAGATCATTGGTCAGCTTGTGCCTGTTAAAACTGAGGAGCAAACACAGCTAATAGAAAGGCTGAAAACAAGGGGCATAAGAGAGAGGGAGATATTAAAAATTCCCACAAAACACAAATAAGCCTCCCCCTGCTGCTGTGGCATTTCTCTGACCCTTCAGGAATTCTGCTCACTCCGTATGAGGAAGGATCAAGGTAAACACTGGGAAGCCTTACGTAAGAAGTACCTGAAGACAGCAAGCACAAGGTTAGCTTCATCAACAGCAAGGAGAGAAAGGGATTATCTGCAGAAGGCCCAGGTATCAGAAAGGGTTTGAAAAACTCAGAAAAATAGCTTTTCTGTCTTCCACAGGAGCTGAGCTTTGAAGGTCTCCAAATCACCATGGCATCACTGCTGCAAAATTGCAGGGCAGATCACTGCTATCTGTCACGCTTGCCTGCTTATTACTATAAGGGAGAAGTGGTTAAAAAAGTCAAAGAGCAAAGCCAGCAATCTGCCATGGTGACGTCCTGAATGCGAACAACCACTGCCTCCGGTACAGGCACAGTTGCATATGGACACATCTGGTTACAGTGCAGTGACCTGAGCTATATCTAGACTACTTGTGTGGCACCTGGTTCTTTTATTTTCTCTTCTCTGTACTGGTTTCATCAGGAACATTATTTGTAACAGGAAGGCACATTTTCCAAGCATTTTGAGCACATTTTCCAAGCATTTAAAAAGCACGTATTTGTAGGGATGAAGTCTTTAACTTTCACTTCATTGAACCAAAAATAATAATTGAGCAGGAGTGTAGCAAACATGCGTTTGCAGCATTACAGGCCTTCAGTGCTGAGAAGCGGTGGGCCCTCTACCCACACTTCCATTTAAATTGCTTCCTACTTTTTACTACTGCAAAGTGGTGGAAACTGTGTCTATTGTATGACTAACTGCTGTTTGAAATGGAAAGCACAGAGAGTTCTGAAAAGATATGGGACTTTTAATTAGAGAGAGAGCTCTTTCTGGTCTTTTAAGGGATTTCTTTGAATAGAAATCTCTTAAAGAACAACAAAAATAACAACAAACAAACTCATACTCTGCTAATCTATTTGTCAAAGCCATGGAATTGTTTTACAAAAGCAGGTAAAATAGTCACAGGAAGATCAAGAGCAGGTACTCCAGTTTCTCTTGGGGAAAGGCACAGGTTACCGTGCAATGTTGTTTCTCTTCAGAGTTTTCCGTCAGTCTTAAGCAGTGGGACAACAATCACCTTCACCCTCACCTGGTGGAGATAAGAGAGGAGGCACCATTCGCCTCCATTGAAGTCCTGCTGCCTCGTGGCAATGGTTGTAACTTTTAATGCAAATACAAGTGGAGGCCTGAGGATGGATGCTCAGTCATAACCTAAGGTTAGAAGAGGCCATCAAGAACTTCCAGTTGAGATGCCAAGTACCACTGAAGAGTTTTCCTTCTTAGATCCCTGTGTGCAAATGGCCATTCCTTCCCCTTATCTAGGATATCAAGAACGCAGTGATTAGCAAAGAGACAATTTGGTAACACAATAAAACCCTGATCAGGCTTCAGCATCCAACTCCTGGCCATGCTGAGGTCCTTCTGGTTCTCCCTCTACTGCAACAATATCCTGGCCAGAAGTCACTTATAGGATCCGTATGCTGGCAAGCAGCCCCATCTGTTTGCATCATGCTTCTTTGAGATTTTTTCCCTTCCTTTACAGAAACCCACTGCTTATCGGGGCACCATTCAAATCCCTTTTGCCACCAGTAGGAAGAACGTGAGCAGCACAGATTTCACTGAGAGAGTGCTAGGGACCTGGAAAGGGAATGGAGAATCATCTTCAGAGGAAGATGGTGGCAACTTACTGGAAATACCACCAAGAAGGTACGTGTACCCTTGGCACTTGGTCACGTCAGGGGCAGCTGAGTAGCACAGACACATTCACAGCATCAAGGATACAAACCTCTGAGCCTTGCCGTCCTCTGAGCTGTCAAGCCATGGAGAGACCTGGGGTCAGAAGCCTAAGAAACAGGTTTAAACCAGAGCCTAAGAGAGGGTTTCTCTCTGTTTTTGCAGGCACATTTCTCCTAGAAAAACGCAGGCATTGCTCACAACGCCAACATCTCTGATGAAGAACGTCACACAGGGACAGATAAGAGATAACAGTAGGTAGAAGGATCATGAAGAGGAGACTCAAGTGAATAAAGAACCCTATCTCTTTAGAGGATTTTTGTCTACCCACCCTGCCTGCAGCTTTCACTTGACAACCCAGTCCAGCACTCCTTTTTCTGTGGGTTGTCATCTCCTTCCCCCATCTTTCCTAGTCTCCTCACGAGATTAGTCAGCTTGTTGGCAAAGATAAAACACCTTTGTAGGGTAGATTCTACTTACCAATCTTGGATCCCCAACTCCAAAAGGAGTTCTTTGGTTTTAAAGCCAAATCCTTGTCATCAACATAGCTGCATAACTAGGTACTGAACGCCAGGATCCATTCATTTCTCCTTAAGTTATTTCCCTTCACCAGCATCATCAGGGAAAAGAAACCTACCCCCATGACCTCACTCTTCAACTCCCAGAGTCTTGTAGTCACTCTTGGTACGGTCAAAGACTCCTGGCAGGATCATCATTATGCCTGTGGATGGTCCAAAGCAGGTAATAGTCCAAGGATTGGACAAACCTCAGCAGCCTCTCCACAGTAACATGAGTCTGAGCCCCAGGAAGCAGTGCACCTCCCTACCTAGCAAGTCATTATTGCAGATGGGTCCCCTAAGCCCCACAGAAGGGAATATATGTAAGGAAGTTTAATTATGGGACATACCGTTTTAAAAATATATATTCATTGTATTAAACTAAATGTGGCGTTTGCTATATTTTTAATAGTAAAGGCACTTATTTCGTAACTAACTTGTATTTCCCCGTTTGCCAGATTCTTTTCAATGATTCTAGTAGAATTACCTGTCCTTTAACTCGTATGTAGCATCTTGAAAAGACTTTGGCTTTAGTTTCTCAAAACTTGTCAAATTATGGCATTTTTAATCTTACTAGAGTGGAATACAAGACAGAAAGGATACAATTCTATGAAAATTTTGCCCATGCAATAATAGGTGTGATGTCAAATGAGTTAGTCATCCTTCCTGTGATGCTGTCTTCCACCCTTCCTAACTTTACTTTTTCTTCTATTTCGCCTTCCATCTTCTCTTCTTTTTTCCCCTTTTTTGCCAATGGCGTCCTTCTTGCAGGCTGCACGGCTTACATCCTGGGGTGCTTGGCCTTTACTCTTCTCTGCAAAATAAACCACCATATTTGTGTAGGTGACCTTTGGTTTCTTAGGAACAATAAACTAGATACAGGCACAAGACTTAAAATGATACTGTTGTGGCCAATTCTATGAAGTGCAAACAATCAAACAATTTCAAAACTAGCAGACAAAAAACCTATTTCATAGACAGCAGTGACTGTCTACTTACCTACCTATAACTTCCTAAACAGCATTGACCACATACAGGAGTGTTCTTGATACTTGTTTCTTCTTGAAAACATATTTAAGAGTGTCTCAGTACTGTGGTTAAAGCTGACCATTAGTTACTTCAGCCCTTAATTAACCATTGAAAGTTTTTCTCATAGGGTATAAAATAAATGCTGATGACATTGTCATAAAGTCAAAAGGAAGATGAAGGGGAGGAGAGGGGAGGAGAGAAAAGGACTGAAAAAGTAGACTAATGGGAAGTTCGGAGGTTCTCAAAGTAACGGATTGAATTATACACACTGATCTGAACTGTGGAATTTCTAATCATTTTCAATGAAGGACAACCACAGGAGAAGGAAAAGAAAGAAAACAACCTCCACATCCTTCCCTAAAAATCCCTGGCACCTTAAAATTAAACAGGATTGAAAGAAAGACACTGGTTAAAAATAAAAGTTGGTTTATTACCAAGGAAAATCCTGATATATGAACGCACTCACACTTGTTTCATGAATTCTGAAAAATGTTTCCTATCTGTACAACTGACTTTATACTGAAAAACAAACTTAAATTGTACATTACATAACAGTGCCCTGATGCGTCAGTAACAGAGGTTCTGTACTGCTCCACTGAGTGCAACCCAACAGGCATATACATAGCTTCAGGAGGATGACACAACTTCACTTGAAAATCATTGCAAAAACTTAACAGAGCTTTGGGACAGATAACAAACCAAAAATACCAAGAATATTGTAAATGTCATCCCCATACCAAATGAAATATGTTAAGTGGACTTCTCTCAAGCTCAGACTGTCTTGGTCATGGATACAGATATTGGGTCATCTTTAGCAAGACTAAACAACATGTAAAGACATTTTGAAATACACAGTCGACAATATACTATGAACAATTAAAAGGTATTATACACTTATAGAGAAATATATGCATTACTATAAGAAAGCTGCTGAACAGCTGAATATATAAGGAAGCTTTATTTAATTGTGGAGGTGAGGAATTATATATTTACCAAAAAAAATGTAGTTGGAGAATACTTTATACAGGTCAGAAATGTACATATTTTTAATATTTATGTATTAATGAGGTAAAAATAAGAATCTAATCTTTATAAACTTTGACTATCCTGCGAGCTTTCAGGTCACTTTCTTCTCAAACAAACAAGCCTGCAGCATTTCAGATCTCCGTTGTTAGTACTGCTTAGCTGGAATGACTTGACCAGCCTCCTATCCGTTCACACTTCACACGCAACCTGTTTGAAATGGGCCCATCCTTTCTGTCTCCATCCATTTATACAGCCTTCCTGTATGTTTTCCTGTATTTACGTTCCCCTATATATTCAATTTCTTTCTGGTCCCTGCATTGTGTATCATTCTAGTCTACATCCCGTCATTACCATCTATTCATAACTATTTCACATAATTTCTTTCTATTCCTAGCTATTCCTTACCCTACCCACTTCTCTTCTGCATCTATTTCCTGCAATTCTCCATTATACCATCTGTTCCTCATCATTTCTACTCCCAAATTGCCCCAATCATTCCCACCTAGCCCTGTTATTCTTTATTTCCCATGATTTCTTACTGTTCTCACGTATTCTCCATTTTAGCCTACTATTCCATCTGTAGCAAGAATGTGCATTTTGGGCTGTATGGTTATCATTCCCCAGTGAACTTTTAGTTGTTGTTTTGGTGCATCCCTTGCAGCCAATGAGGTCCCTGTTTCTCAGAACTGATCACCACAGGGTTTGGTAGGGTCACCAAATGAGAACGATAAGGAGACCCGGTCATCACAAACCTGCTAGGGGTGTGTGGGAGATGATCACATAGAGCTACAAACAAAAAGACAGAAGAAAAGCTTGGGGAGTATGACTTGATCTGACTTTGAGGACACTTGTAGTGGAGATTCCTTTTGTTCTGGAGATTCCTGTTGTTCCTGCACAGATGGGCCATCCTGCCCGGGGATCTATTTTATTTTTCTTTTGCTGTGATCCTATGTAATATATAAGGTCCAACAAAGGCTTCTAGCTCCAGCTTCATGTTTCCTTGCGCAACGCTTATGTTCCATGTCATTTTCTACTACTCTGCCAGTTTTTTGCATTTCCTTCCATTCTCCATCAGTCCAGTCATTTACCAGCCCCTCTCTATCATTTCTGAATATTCCCCATCATTTCCCATTATTCCCAAATGCCGGCCAGCATTTTTTTTCTATTCTCACCTATTCAACACCATTCCCTACCACCTATATCATTCCCATTTTTTCTACACAGAGAGCAACCATTTCTTTCTATTCCCTTCTGTTCCTGTCATTCCTTCTTGGGATCCCTCATTTCTTTATAGTTAATGTCAACCACTGTACATAATGCGATCCCCACCTCTCCCCAGCCAGTTGTTCTATCAGAGAAGGCTACCAGTTTGGCTAAGCATGATTTGTCCCTTGTGAATTCATGCCGAGTACTCCTGACTGTCTTCTTATCCTTTATGTGCTTGGAGATAGTGTCCAGGAGAAGCTGCTCCAACAAAACAGTCCAAACAGTCCATCATAAATCTTTTTTTTAGAACAAAAGTTTTCCATACTTTTAAATATTTTTTCTTCAATATTCTTTTTGGTTTGATTTGATTTGTTTTGTTTAAACCCAGGTCAGGAACTAGGACTCTAGCAAACAGGGAGAGCTTTGAAGAGGAAGATACGGATGAAAGCTGTTAACAGTCACAATTTAGCACTACAAGGCTGCAGTTTACAAGAACCACAATAGGCTGCTGTCAATGATTCAATACATAAAGATCAGGAAACTCAGATTCCTAATACACAGAGAGAGGCAAAGTTTGTACTGAAAGCCCAATTCCTCCAAGCTTGTTAGATGTAGCTGTATTTTGGTTCCTCACCCTGGAAATTGGTATATTAATGATTGACAAATATCAGTCTTCAGGAGTGTGTTTCTTCTGAAGGATTTTTCTCCCTGGAAGCTGATTGCAATGACACAGAAGCAGCTCTCTTAATGCTGATGGCTTTACAGACACAGCTATTCAAGTGAAAAAATGAATATTTTTGTTTAAATGCGTAACCAAAGCACTTGTTACTGAGCCATTAAAAGGAAGATATTTGAGGTCATAAAATATGCACAAACAATTGTAACTACATACTAATGACCATCAGACTTACCCAGCAATCCCAAGCACTCCCGCCTGTGCCGCTCCTTCCAGGATTTCCTTCTGCAAGCTTCACTGCAAGTGAAGATATCATGGCAATGAATGCAAGGAGACAGCTGAACACCAACAGAACGTCCACACTGATAGCAGTATTTAAAAAATGGTAACCTAGAACAAAGGCAATTGTAAAAGAAAGCAAAATATTGTTTGTTTAGAGTTTTTTCTTAGTCTGACAGCATGTCTGTTCATCATAGTAACTTTAAATCAAAATGGCTCACAATATAGAAATATAAATGTCATAATATTCCAGGATAAGAAAACAGGAGACCCTGTAACTTATCTCAGAGTATGTGGGAACCAGAGTATGTTTCTAGGGAAGCAGCTCCTAGAAAAGTCAAGCGTCCCAGAGAGGAACATGCCCAAACCCACATCCACATCCTGGTGCACCGGCTGCTTTATTCTGCTCGAAACGGCTGGCCCTGGAGATGTTCAGTTTCCAACATGCAGGCAGGCCAGGCAATGCGCAGCAGAAATAAAGCCAAGCAGCCAGCCTTAAAAGAACAGAGCCTACTAGAATATTGCGGAGGCAAATGGGGATGCAGCTATGTCACCACAACACAGCAATTACTCTAAAGCTGGAAGATACAACAAAAAGATGACTTCCTTAATATGGACTGAGATAAATTGTTCTGAGCTTGTGAAATTTGAACATATCATCAAGTTCAAGAGTATGCGAGTGCCTTGAAGTAGAAGAAATGGTTGACAAAACAGTCTCCTTTAGCTAAGTATTTCCTCTGTTACTCAAACTGCTCTTAATGCTACAATTCCAAGATTAATGTCCAACTCTGGAAGCCATTCCTGATGTATAGACCAGAAATGCAAGCTACAAAACTTGCATGTGTCCATTTCTTAGTATTTGTAAGCTATCTTCAGCCATTGATATGATGAATTAGCTTAGAATACCAAGATATGCCGCTTATTACAAGAAAACTTAATATTATTCAGACACCTCTGGCAGAGTGTCAAGCTGAAAAGGAGTAATGTAATCAGAACAGAGAAAGAGATGTTTGCAGCTGAGAGGACTGGAAAAAGGAACGACAATTAGACAAGAACAATTAAAACAGGAGAAACAATAGTAGGGTGACATTAGGCCTGGGGAGGAAGTAACAGAATATAATATTTTTGGCTAAGAACAGACAACACTTGCATGCAGTATCTTTTACCCACCTCACTTCTTCCACGTGATGACTCCCCCATTTCTTCTTTGAAGCAGATGTACGAATATTTGAATCTACTGCATCAACATAAGGAAAAGGGGGAAAAATCAATATTCCTACTTAGGACTTAAGAATTAGAATACAAGCCACAAAACACTTTTCCTTAAAACTGCCTGGTCACAGAACAGTTGTTGACCAACTGGACAAACATACTAGATAGGATAATGTGTATCAGACAAACTAAAACATTGTCCTTCTTGAAAGTAAGATGGAAAATGTAAGACATAATGGCTGCTTTATACTCTTCATTTGTGTTTTTTTCACAGTAAATAGAAAAAAAACATTTTTAAGATTATAGTGGTATGGGGAGAGCTAGACTTTAAGGCTTTCTTCACCCATGTATTTGAGCAGTAATCAGAAAGTTAGTCAAATCACCTAAATTTAGATATTTATTGACACTGTTCTAATAGTAGTAGAATATTAATATTGGGAATGCTAGGAAAAGACCTGGGAGCAAGCTGTCATAGGGAATGGACAATGCTAGTTGTCTACAGTCACCTCGGAATGCATATGAGTATTTGTATTAAGTGCAAAGCAATTCAAAGTCATTCCATAACACATGGTAATGATACTGCATTAGGTGATGTACAGGATACATTACCTGTACCTCACTGGACAGGCACTAAGCTTATACTCAACATTTCTTTCACAGTAACTTGTTCTTTTTATATTAGTGAAACTCCTACATCTCCTCACTGCATAGGTAGGTCTGGTTTTGAGAAAGTCATCCTTTCAGGCAACACTGCAACTAATAAGAGTAAATTCTCTCTCCACACCAGACAGTGCCACCGTGAAGCTTAAACTAACATTTCTTGGATCTTCTCAGCTCTTCTTGGTTCCATTCTTTCTCTTTCAGGATGACGCGCTCACGGAGCCTCCCAGTAATGTGTTCTATCAGTGAATGCCGTTTTTGAAATATCTCCCGCTCAGATGCTGTCAGTACATGATATGGTGTGTTAGCAATTCTCCTGTCCTGCAACACATCAGAAGTTAATACGCAAAAAGCAGGGAGAACACAAATCTAACACGTAAGTGTTTTGGACTTTAAGCCAAACAATCTAAAAGCACAATATCATCCCGGCTTAATCCTGGCACAGGAAATTTCCACATTAAATATTCTAGTTATTCCAATTATTTGTTCATCGAGTGTTCAGCAAGTTAACAGAAAATTTTTCTTCAACGGGGAAGCTTCTCCCCTCCTCTCCCAGCAGCTCTGGGAACACAGGAAATCTTCCTGAAACGGGAAAGGCTGCTAGAGGGCACTATTAGATCACTATTAAGTTTCTCCAGTTCCCAATCTGCTTTATTAAGGTAGTGAAGGCAAGGAGCTTACTAGAGGGTACAAAAACCTAAGGCACACCAGAGCAAGGCAGGAAAGAAGGAAAGAAGATACCTGGAGTATGCTGACAAGTATGGCTTGGGATTACAACTACTGATTTTTTAATTTTGTTTCCTATTGGAAGATAATTGTGATTGTACATCGAAGAATAACAATTTAACTATCTACATGAAAAAAATGGAGTGGGATGCAGAAAACGACATTAGCTCCAAGTAGGCTGCTCTGTCAGTGAGAGGTAGTGATGGATCACACCCTCACAGGGTTGTTTGAGCAATGAGCTCTACCCCAGGTACCATTCTGCACGTTCTCAAGTAGCTTGAAGATGGATGATCAAGGTGCCCAAGAGTCACCATTACTTCATAATTGTCCTCACAGGCAAAACTACTAGAGGTAATCAGTTTCGCAGCAAATGAAATGAGTCTCAAAGCCAATTAAGGGAAAAGCAAACTTTGAATGAACGCTTCTGAGGAAAGGCTCAGGATAAATCCTAAGAACAGGCTGTTTGTTCTAATGACTGCAAAGAACACAGTGTCTTCAATGATGGGATCTGAAGTCATACCTGATAATATTCAAAATAGGCATAGTCGACAGCTGTTCCAACTGCTTTTTGCCGTCCTTCCCTAAGAGTAACTGGTGCAAGGATATCTGCACCAGCTTCAAGCAACATATCAACCTACAAAAAAAAAAAAAGGAAGCAAAATATTAGGCGTCCAGCTTTCTAACTAAATTGTGTCCATGCCACAGAGAGAGATCAGAGCTTAACTTCTATCTGTGTGGCTATTTTGTGCACCAAATTGTGCATTTCTTCTGCCGCTGAGCAGTCAGTACTGACAAATCCAAATGTGTTTTGTAAGTAAAACGTTCTTGGAGGCAGTTGATGTTTGTTTCTGGATATCTCATAATATAATCTTGCAGCAACAGATGAGGCACGGAAAACTAGTGAAGTGGGGGCAGAACAGAACCCATCTGGGGAAACCACCTCCCCTCCCAGTGCACCTTAACCACAACATTGCTTCCCTCCTTTCTCAATGTGATCGCTCAGTGCTCTGTGGCATGAGGAAAACCCTCCCATTTTTGCAAGGTCAAATGCTTCTGCTGACCTTCTCATAGGTGAGAAAGGGCACTTTGTCAACTACTTTACAGAGCAAATTCAAAGGCATCTTTCTTTCAGTGGATGTCAGCTGTGTTTACAGGTAACAGTCAGATCTGACAGGGCCAGGGGCATGACTAAAGTCTGGATCTGCTTTAAATGCAGCTGTTCCTCTTTCACACAAAGTAGTTGTTAGAATTTACTCAAACATGAATACAAATTTCCTTACAAAACTCTGTTTCTTAGGAGAGAAACAAATGGCATTTGGAAGAGACACTAATTTTTCTGGAAAAATAAAACCAGCTTGTCCATTAAAGGGAAATCAAAAGCACTGCTTTTCCTGTTGTTAAAATAAAAACAAATAATCACAAAAGTTCTCTCACCAAGGCAATCCTCTGAGCTTTTGTTCTCTTGTGCTCGTATCTGGTACTGATAGCTGTACAGAGGGCACTTCTTACAGTTCCACTTAATGGCAGATTCGGATCAGACCCATGTTTGAGGAGTTCAACCACTGCCTGACAACATAACAGACAGTTGCTGGAGAGGCATTTTTGATAGTTCCAGTGATAACCCACCCAGAATAAGAAGCTATATGGTAGAATATATTGGATATGGAACTTGCCATTCAAAGGGAAATCCTGAAATGTCATCGTTTCTAAACACATAAATGAGAGATTTAGTAAACTCTTTTTCTCAGAAAAATTCCTAAATTGTATTTTAAAAGAAACAAAGACAAAATAAGTGAAAAAGTCTGATTCAGACATTTGATATAGAATCTATTTTCTATTGTATATGTTTGCATCCATTTCTACTGTATCTACATTCACAGTCCATCCTCTAGCACCCTATTATATTGTATCCAGTTCTATATTTATACATGATTGATAAATTTGTACTGAAGTAAATATAGTTAAAAAGTATCAGATTACAATAGCTCTTTTCTATTATAATCTATTATTAATCCTACTACACAGGATAAAGCCTGCAATGACAGAACAAAAGGTAAAATTTTGATTTCATCAGAAACACTGACAGAGGCTTCCCCTTGCTTTGTTCAGATCTGCATTTCCAAGACAACAATTGACTGAACTATTAGTCTGCCTTTATATGGGAAAGAGCAACCAGAGAAATAGAAATCAGACTCCAACCTTCCTCCTATGAGCTCATTACGTGAACCACTGGGCAGTCATGCTTGCTCCCTTCCGCTTGTTCTTCCCATGGCCTTGTGCTGGATGGCTGCCTGCAGAATGGCTCCTTTCAGTGCACACTCTGCATGCAACTCTTACTCAACCCCACTGTCCTCTTCTTATTTCTACAAAGACAACCAGGAGTCTGGGACTCTATGTCCAGAGAAGCAGAGTGCTGCAGACAAACCACTTTGCAACCACTGCATGTTTTGCTCATACACTTCTTCTCACAGCATGCAGGCTGCTGCAGACCCACTCTTATGGGCCTTCTCTGAGCAGAACGAACATTTTCTGCTCAGGGAAGGTAGGTGCTTTCTTCACATTATTGAACTCTACAGTGTGAACTCCTCATCTGTGGAGTGCTAAGCCATTATGCACAGATCCTTTCCAAATCTGATCACTGATCTTTCCTTAAAAAAGTATACTCTTCTCCCCAATAACTACTTCTTTTTTCCACCTAAAATCCAGAAGCAAAATGTTTTAACACTTGACTAGGATGATTTGAGTGGTGAGATAGTCTGTAAGAGAACTGCATGGTCTTGTGATTCATAAAAACAGATACTGTTCTCTGAATGCTATACCCTTCTGCATCTTAACCAAGTATTTGTGCCTATCACTCTCATCCTACAGGGCTCCTCTAGTTCAGCTCATGTAACATCCACAGGTTTCAAAGAAAAGCAAATGTGGTACTTTCACTGGGAATGAATTATGACAAGCATCACTAGCTGTTCAAGTTTGGTTCTCATCAGAGAAGGCAGACACAAACGGAGAAGTACAACACACATAAAGAGGAACTCAAAGATGCTCACCAAATCATTCCCGCTGGCGATTGCTAAGGAAAGTGGTGAATGGCCACTCCACAGTGTATTTGGATTTGCCTTATGCATCAGAAGGAGGTGGATAACATCTCTGGCATGCTGTGTAGGAAGGTGCAGAAAAAGATAGAAATAGATCACGACAACATTTAATTTTTCATATGTATGTAATTATAATGAACAAAATGAGCAGCATAAAATACATTCAAAAGTTTCATCTAAGCTACAATCGTAATAAGCAAAAACGTATTTCCATTTTATCCTGGCTAAGAATGCCAAGCATAATAGTGTTGTACTTCCTTATCAGATTATTGAATGACATAACCCCTGTTGTCAAAGGGTACATAAAAGCTTGCTTCTGAAGAACTACACCTCTCAAAAAAGCTCTCCTTCCTCCACATGCACGTCTCCTAAATCTGCTAGAAGAATATTACTATCGTAGAAACTTAAATGCTCAAAGATAAGCACATAAGAAAACTCAGATTATCCAGCTTCAAACTGGACTCATAGACAGTAAAACTTAATGGCCAAGTCACTAACGGAAACTTAAGCAAAAGAATTCCCTGTGTTAAAGAGAATTCAAAAGACTTAAGAAATATTTTTTATTCAAGTGCTAATAGATTTTTAATTAGTACAACACTTGTAATTCAAACAGAAAGGAGTTCATCCCTGAGATTCAGTCATCTACTTGCAGAAAGATGAAATGTATTAGTTCCCCAGATATATCATTTGAGAATTTTAGCCTGTAACTCCTCTCTTGGAGCAGAACCTCAAGTGCCATGCTCTTACCTCACAGTTATCCTCTCTTTCACATGCGATATGCAATGCACTCCTTCCACCTTCTTCTGGAACAGGACCACTGTAAGAGGAGAAGTACGCTTCTGGTGGTCCTGTTTCATTCTTCAGGTGCACAGTGACACCACGGGGCACTTTGGCTTCTTTAGTTTGAGGCAAAGGAATCTGCATGAAATTATGTGCATATTTGTAACATAGTTTAGAGACAAGCCAAAGAAAATAAACTGTTTGATCACTTATAGATCTGGATCTCAATATTGGGCAAGACTTGTTCAGTCCCACCAAAGCAATGGTCACCTCTTTTCTAATTCTTTCTTTGCATTCTGATTCCAAATACCTAAGTCAACTTCAGCACTGCACATGAATCACTATAGAAACCTAGGGAAGGCAAATTTTACAGATAGAATTTAATAACTTCTACTGGCACAAATGATACAGTGAGGTGTGGGAGGAAAACAGTAGGCTATCAGGCAGAAAAGGTCTTCCTTGAGTTAAGTTCATTCAGATGTCATTCATTTATTATGCATAAGTCCAGGCTTACCAGATCAATATAAAAAAAAAAAAATTTAAAAAAGTAATTTGGCCAACATGGCTTCTGAGCATATTGTAATTGCATACTATCAGCAAACAGGTACCAAGTCATCCTGAATGCTATTAAAAGAGAAAGTACTGAAATACAAACTGAAGAACACACCTGAACTTCCCTGGACTGCGAAACGACATCACCTTAGCCATTGTCACGTCAACACAAATCTCATCCTTCTTATTACACAAGCTAACTCATTTTTCAAGTGAATTGGACCTGACTGGATGACAGGCAATGACATTGCAAAGTCATTATATTTGCAATGTCAATTATCTTTGAAAAGCCATGGCAACCATTTGAAGTTCCTGAGGAATGGAAGAAAGTAAATGTCACTCCTATATTCAGGAAGGATAAGAAGGTGGATCTGCAAAATAGTATCAGCCTCATTTCAATTCCCAATAAGGTCATTAAGCACATTCTCTAGGAATCCATTTCCAAAAATATTAAGGACAATAAAGTGAATCAGTTTGGAGTCATCACTTTGGATTTACAAAGGGGAAATCATACCTGAACAACTCGATATCCTTCTCCAAGAAGATGAGCAATCTGGTGAAACATGGGAGAACTGTGGATGTTGTTTACCTTGACTCTAGTAAGGGTTTCAACAACTGCCTCCCATAGTGTGCTCACAGACAAGCTGATGAAATACAGCTTGCTTAAATGGACAGTGAGGTGGCCTAAAAACTGGCTGAACTACCAGATTTAAAGAATTTGATCAGTAGCATGATGTTTACCAGAAGGCAAGTACCAGAAGTACAGCGAGGGTGTACCTACAGGGGTCAATATGGGGACAATCCTGTTTAGCACTGTTATTAATTCACCTGGAAGTGACAGAGTGCACCCTCAGCAGGTTTGTTTTTCCCTGGGGAAGACTAACCATGTGCCTATGCAGTCAGGGGGCTGACTGAAAAACATCTCTGTGGAAAAGGACCTGGGGCTTCCTGGTGGACAAGTGGAACATGCTCCAGCAATGTTCCTTTGCAGGCAAACAGTATCACGGGCAGCAGTCAGAAGGAGTGTTTCCAGCAGGAAGAGGGAGATGATCCTTCCCCTCTGCTCTGTTCTGGTGAGGCCACCTGGAGTGCTGTGGCCACTTCTGGGCTCCTCGGTACAGGACAGACATGGAGCTACTGGAGCAAGTTCCACACAGGATCACAGAGAGAGTTAAAGGACTGGAACATCTCCTGTGTTAGGAGAGGCTGACAGATCTGGGATTGCTTAGCCTTGAGAAGAGAAGGCTCAGGCGGATCTTATCAATGTGTTTAAATACCTGATGGGAATAAGAAAACAAGATGGAGCCTTATTCTTCTCAGTGCTGCCCAGGAATAGGACAAGAAACAATGGGAAGGAACTGAAAGGCAGGAAACTCCACTTAAAGAGAATAACAAAAAGAAAAGTTTTCCTATGAAGGTGATCAAACACTGGAAGAGGTTGTCTAGAGAGATTGTAGACTCTCATTTCTAGGAAATGCTCAAAGCGCAACTGGACAAGGTCCTGAGCAAGTTGCTGTCATTGATCCTCCTTTGATCAGGCAATCTTCAGAGGTCCTTTACAATCTCTCAATTGTTTCATAATTCTGTGGAGTGATACAAGTACTATACCATGAAGGAATTCCTCAGGTAATAAATGCCACAAAGAGCACTTTTGCTCATATAGTTCGAAGGTAGAAATTTTTCATTAAAAAAATGGCAACGCTAACCAAAAAATTCTATGCTCCCAAAAGAGCATATTGCAGAGCTATCTTTCTGGAATGCTGGGGGCACAGGGAATGCTGCAGGAATCCAGCAGAGAGAGTCCATGTTCAGGGAAAACACAACAAAACAAAACCAAACCAAGCAGGTAGGCTCCATGGAGATGAAATCAGCAGGTCCTGTGTGTATTGCTTTCTGACATGGTCCTAGCTTCACTTATGTCATTATACCTTCAGACACTGGTACTAGACTAGCCACAAGAGATTTTAATTTCTGCCTTACATGAGACATGCCATTATGTTTTCTGTGGCATGGAAACACAACGATGTGTTTATTGTAACACAATAATAAAGACCATGAGTGACTTTTTTTAACTTACTTTCTCCTTTTACTTTTTCTTTTTGAACTTCCTTTTAAAGGAACATGGTTATTCCAATAGGATACAAAGATTTCAGGGAAATCCAGCAGGTTGGAAGCTCATCTACCTGCTGATGTATTATGCTGCAAGAAGGTGAGCTCACAAAGTAACATACCTGGTCTGGACCATATGCCTCATTTCCATCTTCTGCTCTTGCATCAAGATCTGGAGCAGAATGCAGGAGGTACCGGGTTATCTGGACCCCTTCCTCCCCAGGAAGAGATACAGCTATGTGCAGAGGTGTTAAACCACCTAACTGAAAAAAAAAGAAAAGAAAAAAAAAACATAGCAATAAGACTCCTCTTTATCGTAGCAAACTAAACACACTACTATTTTCAGAAGAATAATCCAAGCTTCCTCTTCCCACATACTCTGTTCCATTTTCAGCCGGTACAAACCTATAAATTGAGTTATGGGACAATGGAATGCTCAACATCCCAGATACTCAACCTACCAAAATCACAACAGTCATTACCAACTTGAGGAGCAGCTCCGTAAGCATTCCCCAGTCACTCACAGGCTTGGCAACAAGGAATGAGGAAATGAAAGAAAATGAGGAAAGAAAACTCAGAGAGTAGCTTGAGTTCTTTCTATAAAAAAAAGTTCTTTGAACGGGATAATTAGTTTAAAGATCACTTTTGTTCATTTTAACTCCGATTCCTACTTGCAGGACATTTCACAGTAGGATGCTGCAGCACTCATCTAGAATCCTACACCATTATCTATTATAATACAATAAAACCTTGGATGGAAGTCGCACGTCACTCCTGGCTCCCCTTTCTAAGAGGAGTTTCACTGCTTCTGCATCTGCAGCTTTAACAGCAAAGAAGAGAAGGGGTGCTGGTATCCTGCACGCATTGGGATCAGCACCTCGTCGAAGCAGCAGCTGGATTGTTGCCCATCTCTTGTGCTGTCTAAAGTTGACGTGGAAAATATCAGAAACACTTATTAGCATCTTATGAAAGTAAAATATGGTGAACTAAGATGATTCCCCTTTCTAAACATTAAAAATATCATTTGGCAGAGCCAAGAATTAATTCTTCCAAGCAGTATTTGCCATGCTGCAACTAGGCAACAGTATTATTACCTGAAGAGGATATTTCATCCCTTCAGACTAAAGAGGCAGCACTCAAAAGCAGTCCCTTTCAGTTGCAAGGAAATAGATAAGCCGAGTAAGGTTCCCTGCATCTCCACTATTCATTTATGTGTCACTTCTAAACACTTAATCTGAGACTTGTTTATTATCATAGAATCATAGAATGCCCAAGGTTGGAAGGGACCTCAGAGGTCATCGAGTCCAACCCCCCTGCTCACGCAGGGTCACCTAGAGCACGTGGCACAGGGCTGCATTCAAGCGGGTTTTAAAAATCTCCAAAGAAGGAGACTCCACAACCTCTCTGGGCAGCCTGTTCCAGTGCTTTGTCACCCTCACAGTGAAGAAATGCTTCCTTAAGTTCCTGTGGAACTTCCGACGCTTCAGTTTGAAGCCATTTCCTCTAGTCCTATCACTGCCCACCACTGAAAAGAGGCCGGCTCCCTCCTCCTCACTGCCTCCCTTGAGGTATTTATACACGCTGATCAGGTCCCCCCTCAGCCTCCTCTTCTCCAGGCTGAGCAGGCCCAGCTCCCTCAGCCTTTGCTCACAGGGCAGATGTTCCAGGCCTCTGATCATCCTGGTAGCCCTGCGCTGGACTCTCTCCAGCAGCTCCACATCCCTCTTGTACTGGGGAGCCCAGAACTGGACGCAGCACTCCAGATGTGGCCTCACCGGGGCTGTGTAGAGGGGGACGATCCCCTCCCTCGACCTGCTGGAGACGCTCTTCTTAATGCACCCCAGGATCCCGTTGGCCTTCTTGGCCACCAGGGCACACTGCTGCCTCATGGTCAACTTGTCATCCACCATGACACCCAGGTCCCTCTCTGTGGGGCTGCTCTCCAGCAGGTCCACGCCTAATCCGTACTGGTGTCCAGGGTTATTCCTCCCCAAGGAGGACCCTGCACTTGCCCCTGTTGAACCTCATGAGGTTTCTCTCCGCCCAGTCCTCCAGTCTGTCCAAGTCCCTCTGGACAGCAGCACAGCCCTCAGGGCTATCAGCTACTCCACCCAGCTTGGTATCGTCAGCAAACTTGCTGAGGGAGCACTCCAGCCCTTCATCCAGGTCGTTAATGAATAAGTTGAACAGGATTGGACCGAGAACTGACCCCTGGGGGACACCACTAAGTACAGGCCTCCAGCTGGACTCCGCACCATTGACAACCACTCTCTGCACCCTGCCATCGAGCCAATTCCTAATCCACCTCCCCGTCCACTCAACTATCCCACACCTCCGGAGCTTGCCCAGGAGGATGCTGTGAGGGACAGTGTCAAAAGCCTTGCTCAATCTATTGATAGAATAGATTGACTCCTAGTTCCTGTCATCTAAGACTGGCTGCAGGATTCTTTCTGCTGTCATAATCCAATCATCCATCCCTAGAAGATACAGATATTCTTTCAGTGTTTCCCTTACAAAACCTGGAACGAGAGCTATGCTGGACTAGCTAGGCATTTCAGCAGGCTAACGGGCAATTCCATTTGCATTTCCATGAAGGCAAAATAGACAGGCACACTTCTGGGAAAAAAAAAAAAAAAAAAAAAAAAAAAAATCTAGCACATCAAAAGAAAGGCAATCTTTGAAAATCACCCAGAAGCTCTACCACATAATGGTCGGGGCAGAGCCTCCTCCTCTTATCTCAAATGGCATCAACTCATTTTTACTCACAAGCCCTGCATTCAGTGCATTTTTATATTCCAATGAAAAACATGCAAAACGCTTAGACAAGAAGCTAGGAAGCTAGGAACGTGGCAAGATGTGCCACAGAAGTCCAAAGGGCAAGAAGGCCATAGGAAATTGTGACGGTTAGAGAATTTTAAGATATTCAAGTCACCTGTGCTGGCGTAAAACCCCACAAAAGAAAATATCATCTTTAGGGACTGCACTGCAAAACAGAAAGCAAGACATGGCCTTTGCAGGGATCCATGAAAGCAAAGCCAAAAGACTACATTTGAAATCATGGTGCTAAACAGACACCTATAGAAGATGACCAGCAAGGTCAAATGTAGTCAAGACTTCAAGGGAACATATTCTTATCTTTCCTAACACACTGTAGGTGTCCATAGCAGCCTGTGACAAGCTGCAAAGTATGCAATTAAGAAATCTTGTCCTATTCAAACATGAAGTCCTTGGTTTGAACTACACTTTGCTTTTTCATATTCTGCCAAACTGATTTATGACAGAGCATTTAAACCACTGGCTTCCACTGATACGAACACAAGATTTTTCTAGTTAAACAAAAATCTGATTAGCTTTTCCTGCAGTAGCTGTATCCTTCAATGTATCAATTAGTGAAATACTAATTGATGCTTTCTTTGTTCAAGGGATCTATGAGACTTGTCTCCGATTCATAGGGAATAAGTGAGACTTACTCTAAGATTATGCCTTCAGACATATCCAGACAACCAGAATTCGTTGTTTCTGCTGGTTCTGATTGTTCGTTCTACTTGAGAATTAAAAAGATAAAAGAAATCAGTTAGAAAAATGAAAATAAGTGAGTTAGCATCCATCAGTCATCAGAGCAATAACAATCAAAACGGTAATATTAGAAAAGATAACAATAAAATTTGGTTAATAATAGATAGGGATATCATTCAGAAGTAGTTTGTAACTATATTTTTAATACACCAAACAAATGAACATTTTTTGCTCAATTTCTATTGCGAGTAAAGTATGTTTTAAGGTGTTACCATTTCAAGTATTCACCATCTAGCTTAAAAGAAAAATGCCTCTGAAAGAAAACAAGGTTCTTACAGAGTCTCTGCAATAGTCATTAACTTGCATGAGAATGTAGAGCTAGGACCTAGATCAGTGCTTCCTGATCTTCTAGGTTCATATTCAACTCAGAGGAAAAGAGAAAGCGCTGCGTAGTTTATATTCTTAAAAAATACGTTATCATGCTCTTTCACATGACAGTTTAAAGCAGGTGCTTCTTGTTTCAGCAGGAGGAATTCTAGAGTCATGAGTCTTCTTTTGTAAACACCTCCTTGGTGTCAAGAGAGTCCTCTGAGAGTTGAATTGCTTCTTGCTTGTCCCTTCAGCTATGACAGCAGGACTCGGTACTAACAGCACAACCATCTAAATCTTCTTGTCCTGATGTATGTTTTTGGAATTCCTACCAATTGCCCACTGCATCTTCACTGTCAAACTAACGCAGCCTGCTGTCTCTGCCAGAGAGATAACCCAGTGCCTTAGTTCAATGGAAGAATAAGTTTGTTACGGACGGGAGGTGGTAGTTTGAAGTAGGTAGTTTTAGTATTGAGAGCAGAGACTACTGCGTCCTCTGAGTGAGAGATGCACAAAAGTTTGGGCTTTTTCCTAGTGAGTCACCACAGTTAAGTCTATTCTAAGAAGGAAACATATCATGATTCCAACATTTTAGATTAGAAATAAACCAACCTCATATCTTTGCAAGTTCCTCTCAGCAATATTACCCTTGAAAGACTCTGCTGGATAATACAGAATAAAGCACATAGAGAGAGCAGATAATCCTTCATCACTGCACTTGTTCACATCGGCTCCACTATCGAGAAGAAGATTGACAATATCATTGTGGGAACTAACCTGCAAAGCGGAAAATGCTTCAGAATGTTATCTTATTTTGTAAACATCTTATACTGCACTGTTATCTTATACATATACATACTTGCAGTTTTCTAAGTGGAAAGAATACACAATGTAGTTTGAAAGCAGTGAAAGCCAACACTGTTAAGCTTATTTAAGTTTATATCCACCACAAAATGCAGAAGATTTTTCAAGATTCTTGAAATTGAAAGGTTTCAACCAATCAAGATGGATTTCTTCAAATTTTCAAGAACATCCCTTCCCTTGCCCTTGTTTATAATAATTTCTATGAGATTTCCTGGGAATTCAATGAGCATTCACATATATAAAATGACTAGAAGCGGCTGAGATGGAGGCTGTAGAGGAAATATAGTGCCCTAAATTATTATCTAATTTTTGCCAAACTTTTACAATGGATGTCATGTGTTCAGGCAGCTGAAAAGGAGCAAAGAAAAGGAAAAAGGAGAGATCATCTTCCCCTACAGCAAGCCATATGTGCACCATATCTAACCAGCACTTCTTTTCAGCAAAAATGAACTAAATCTGTCTGAATGTGATGGACAAGAAAGAAAACAGCAAGGGCAGGATCATAAGTGGAAATAAAACTTGACAGTTGAAACATTCTTTAATTTTACTAAGGTGCTTTTTTGTAGATTATTATTATATTTAATATATATAGTATAATGTATGATTATACATATATTTAATTATTATATTTATTGGCATTACAGACATTTCTCATGCCACACATGCTCTTTTGCTGTTCATCAAACATTTCCTTCACACTTGCTATGTAATGGAACAAAAGCAAATCTAATCCCCCCCACTGCACCAGGAATTTCTCAGCATATGGTAGAGAGTGATTCTCAGAGCCTTACAGCAGCAGCAGCAAGTGCCGTGTATCCATGTTTGTCTGCTATGTCTGGATGCGCAAGCTCATCCCGCAGGATTTTATAGACCCCGTCAAAGTCTCCCTTTGCTGCCTTCTGAATTAATTTCTCTGAAGCAAGCTCCTTGGGACCCGGAGGCCCGTAACTATCGCGGACTCCACTGAGAATGAGGTTAACATCTGAAGCAAACTCCGCTTCACAGCACCTAGCAAGGAGAAAACGGCACTGAGACACTTAAGCAGCTCGCTACTCTTAAGCCACTAATGCAAGTGAAGAAAAAACACATCAAGAACAAAACATGTTGCTGGGTAAGATGGGAAAATATGTACAGCTATTATTTTAAGAACTCTTTCAGATAGTATAATTTTGCTTAAATTACAGGCAGAAAAGCAAACTGGTCAAGGGGCTCCCAATACCTAAAAGATTAGAAAACAAACTGTAAAATTGCCAAGCATTTCTGAAAACAGAAGATATAGCATGCATAATCTTATCTGTTTACTATTAGATTTATATCCCTAGCTTAACTATGACTATAAAGTACACACATGGCTTGTGTTTCCAGCAACAAGATGAATCAAAAATACTCTGCCTGCCCAAAGAACATCTCCACGTACAAGCTTCAAGCTACATACGAAGTTAAGGGTCAGTGGTCAATTACAGGTAGCTGCAGACTTGCTGCAGCACGATTTTTACAGAAGAATAAGAGTTAAGACAACCACAGAAACATATCATCGGTATCATAAATTGTTTTTTTTTTTTTTCATTTAAAAAAATAACCACATTGGTAGTTGGTCATCTGAAGTGCATAAAAAGCACTTGGGGAGAGCAGCTTTTATCATGCAATTTATATTTGAAATATAGGGATCACTTATGATCTCTATATGAGATGAGAAATATGAGATCACTTATAAAAATACATACATTAAAAAAAAAATCACCATCAGCTACCTGTGTTTATAAACATGCATCTGCATTCTGACAAGTAAGGGGGTTATATTTGCAACAGGCCAAAGCTCTTCCTCAGGCAGCTTTGAGGTATTCTGAAAATATGAAGCATCACACTCTTTCAGAAAGGTGCAAGTCAAAGTCAGATGATCTGTGTTGTGGGAGTAGGCAAAGACCCCTTCAGGCAAAATATTCTTGTCATCAAAAGGAAGGCGCTTATAGCTACGGAGAAATGGGTCCTCGTCAACAGAAAGATACTCTCTTTGAGAACTTGCATCAACATATCTGAAGTGTTCCGGATAATCCAAGAGAGAAAAATAACCAGGTACTTCAGTGCACAGTTTAATTAGATGATCTCTGAGCCACAAGCCAACATCTTGACAGCCATCCGGATAGCTCTCGATTCCCGGTCCAAATCGCTCATCAGATTTGTACAGCCCCTTAAGATACAAGTATACTCGTTACTATCAAGCAGAGACCAAACAAGTCATACAGTTAAAGCCTGGTTACTATTTAAACTGTTCTGCCCGAGTCTTATCTGTCCATTTCTTATGGACAGAGCAATAACTGCTGAAGCCATTCTGTCCTACAAGGCCTTCATAGTCACTTTGATCCATCTAATGACAAACACATTAACTCTTCTAGTACAAGTACAGTGGGAGGCCCTAAATTTAACTCCACTGCAATGTTTTATTTAGCTGAAGTTTTATATAGATTTTATTGACAAATGAGAATTGTGTTTTATATAATTTTGTGTCCAGCTTTGCATTCATTAACCACACAGTTTCTGTTTAGACCAGGATAGCAATGTTTTCCAGATCAGAGGAAACTCCTCTGACACACAACTGCATAGACGCGGAGTATGGGAAGGGGAGCCCCATTCCCAACTATTTCTTTTCTTTTCTTAACGTGATAATTAACTTCTGGATACCATGGTAATTAGCTTCAGGACAACCTTGCAAGTATGACAGGTGATGAGGATTATTATTATTACTATATCAGATTATATATGATCTATTCAAATTTCCTGTTGCAGACACCCAAGGATCAGTACAATGGGAAGGTTGCCCTACGCTGGGCACCTTTCAGATGCACCTTCTTCTTTGAAAACCTATAAATTTATAAAAAAAACTATAAACTTTTAGAAAACAAGTTTTCTAGCTTCTACTAAACTCACAAGTACTGGAAATTGTACAAAAGAGACAGTTAGCTATCTCAAAACTTCAGAATGCCCTTTGTCTCCACAGTTTTCTCTCAAATGCAGTATTTTTCAGTTTCATACTCCTAGCTTCACAATATGTCTCTTGAGAGTACTGACTGGCAAATCAGCTCTTCATCCATCAAGATCTATACATTAGAAACTGGAAAACGAAGTTCTTTCAGGTGTCAGAGTTTTAGTTCTAGACAGATGGTATCATTGTATCTAAGCAAAAGTTTTGTACAGCAGAAGTTGAGTAGTTTGAAGAGAGTGATCTAGCTTATTGAAGACTGAGGCATAAAGCTTTTGTGCTAAACAACCCAAAACTAATGGAGTTGCCTGAAAAAAAAAGAAGAAAAAAAAACCCTCAAATTTTCCTGTCGTCATGCTGACTTTGAAAAGCAAGGAAATCTCAGTAATAGATCATTTTTCCAGTTACCTGAAATTTTCTGCCATCCGTCCATTCCAGAGTTCCATAGCCTTCTATATGCCCAAGATAAAATGCTCCAGTGAATTTTGAACCATCAGGCCAGCAGCAAATACCTTTGCCATGGCAATGGGCTCTGTAGAACTCTCCCATGTATCTCTGTGATCCACCACAAAGAGAAAGGACAGTAAGAATGAAACTCTTCTGAGGGCAGCAATAAGTAAATTTTTAATTGCCTCCTTGATGCAGCACAAACAGCACGCCAGAAACTGAGGATGCTACTGTTATCTACTTAAGAAAGACCAGGCAAAATCTCAACTCTATTGTAGTCACTTCAAAACTCTGCCAAGATTTCTCCCATTGCCACACCAGCTCTTCCACCTGGCAGCAATCATGATAGAAGATCCTACTATTTTAGTAAATGTGTCTCAGTGCTCATGTTTTTGATATGTTGCCAAATCATACAAGCAAAGCCAATATCTACCAAAGTGTTCAACACCTTTTACAAATACCTGTATTCCAATACACATTCAGCTGGGAAATTTTTCATCAAAAGAGGGAAATCAGTATAGCTGCGAATGCAGATTTTGTCAAAAAGCAAACATCAAAAACCATAAGAACCTAGTAAAACAATATGAAAAACCCCTAGCTACCTAGCCACATGCTTACAAACCTTTCTTTTTTTCATTACAGAAGGAAAGAGCCTGCACAGAGAATATTCCTACTTCCAAATGACAAAATTCTGCTTTGAGAAAGAGCTATTAGTCAAATAAATCCCCAACCCTTACCTTCTGACAAATTCCACTCAGCCCCAAATCTAACCATAACCTAAAGATAACCTAACCATAAACACACAACCTTAAAGTACAATAAAATCAGACTGCAGAGTAGTCAGCATAGTTTGATAGTAAAGTTACATAAAATTTTCTATTAAAAAATTATATATATTTAAATAATATTATCTACCTAATGGTATCAAGGTGACAGACACTAAGTCAAAAAATAGACCATAATCCCTTCTCTCTTAAGCAAAAAATTCCTTAGCTATCACTCATTTGATTGATTTGATTGAAATCCAATCAATTGTGATTAATTTTGGCCACAAATATTTCAAGGTATTTATTATTTTTAAGCAGAAAGAGATGCAGAAATTTGGGAGATGCTTTGTAGTGTTAGACAACATCTTGCAATTGAAGAAAAGTGCTGCTTAAATCAAAACCTTAATTCCTTAAATGTTAAATGCATTTATGTATCTTCAGGGTGTCTCTCCAAATTAAATCTGCTACATATCTTAATCAATCATATAGGTTATCTTCATTAAAAGTGTAACAGAAGGGAGAGGGTGAACCCTGTTGAGAACAAAGTTCTCCTGGTATTCTGTAGTATAAACGTTGAATATTTTTAGTTTAAAAAAAAAAAATTGCTATTTAAGTTCCCTAAGGCCTAGTGACAGGATGTGCCACGGAGAGCATTTTGAGGTCAGCAGTTCATATTCAGTCCAGCTACTACTCTCTATAAAATGAGCTACCACCAAGAAATCCTCACCAAGGGCAAGGGGCTCTTACAGCTTCTGCCTCATGTATGGTAGGGTTTTGCTTACAATTGCACGGTTTGCCCCCTGAAGCCAGCAGTGAGGAACAACGCTGAGTTCTTCACATTGCCAAAATTAAGGTTGTGTTGCTCCACTAGATTAAAGAGTGATTCTCTGCCAATTTTAAGTCTTCCCATCTGTGTAATGGCTTAACAACTCATGTGCAGAAAAATAGATAACCACTATGCAGACAACTGATCCCTAACGGATACGCGAAAATTTTGTTTCCCTGACAGTCAAAACTATAACTCAATAACCCCACCTGGTACAAAGCAAAAAACACCACCAGGGAACCTGAAATATTCATCATTCCTCAGAGTATTCCAACCATCTAAGGAAGACACACAGTTAAGAGGTTACATTTTTTTGAAGAAAAGGAAGCAAACAAAGCAAAAAGGGGCCAATCTCACGCGCTTGCAAGCCTCCTGCTACCAACACAGGTTGTGGGAGCTAGTCTGTGGGCAAAGCTGCAGAGCCTCACTGCTTGGGCTTGGCCACGTTCAGCACCCACAGCCGAAACGGAGAGCAGTCGTGGGCTCGTGGGAGCTTTCCTCCTGCTCATCCCGCTCGAGGGCAGCGGCACCTACACGTCGCAGCCATGGGCTCTGCCACGCACGTCAGAGCCGCACTAAGCGCTGTACAAACAGCCCAAAGCGCCCAGCTTGCCCCAAACACGGGGGCAGAGGAGAGATGCAAGCCTAGGACAAACCCGCACTGCAGAGGCTGATCCCCCGTGCACCTCGCTGGCGGCCAGCGCCACCGCCTCCTCCTCGCTGCCACCCTCGGAAACCCTCCCGGCCATGGCCGCAGCCGCCACGGGCTCCACCATGGCGGCAGCTGCCCCGGGCAGCTCGGGCAGCTTCATGGCGGCAGCCGCCACGGGCTCCACCATGGCGGCAGCTGCCACGGGCGGCTCGGGCAGCTCCATGGCGGCAGCCGCCACGGGCTCCACCATGGCGGCAGCTGCCACGGGTGGCTCGGGCAGCTCCATGGCGGCAGCTGCCCCAGGTGGCTCGGGCAGCTCCATGGCGGCAGCTGCCCCGGCCAGCTCAGGCAGCTCCATGGCGGCAGCTGCCCCGGCCAGCTCAGGCAGCTCCATGGCGGCAGCCGCCACGGCCAGCTCAGGCAGCTCCATGGCGGCAGCCGCCACAGGCTCCTCCATGGCCGCAGAGGCCCCGGGCAGCTCCATGGCGGCAGCCGCCCCGGGCGGCTCGGGCAGCTCGAGGTGGCAGCGGGTGGCGGGTTGGGGAGGCGGATCCACAAGGGCTGTGCTCCGGACACCGGCGTTGCTGCGGAGACAGCGTCCAGGCAGCGCACAGAGGCCCCGGAGCGCCGCAATGGAGGCCTGAAGAGAAAAGGCGCCTGGTCCTCACCCACCACCTGTGGGTACCGAAGCTCCCCGACTCCCATGGGCACCTGTCCACCCTCCCCGTCACGGCAGCACTGAGGATCAGTGTCTGGGAATGGCGTCCTTCACATGCTCTGCATCGGGCCACCCCTTATCTCCTGCAGGGGAAACATGAAAGGAAGCCTGAGCACGACGCAGCGCAGCAGAGAGGAAGCACAGGGTGCCGCGGGTGAGGTAGAAGACCCCATTGTTGGCGTGTGGCAGGGAGCTCCTGGAGCACCCTGTCCCTTGAGAGACAGCGTGGGAGCGGTGGGGCCCATCGGCCTCAGCCCCCTCGGGTGCGCGCAGCCCTGCGCCGCGCTCAGCTGCCCTCGAGCGCAGGGGTGCCATGCCACCGGGGCCGCTGCTCAAGCAGCTGATGGGCTCCGTGCTTGCCCAGGGATAACAGCAAGCCCAGAGCTTCGTCCTTGCTTTCTTACCTCCTAAAGAGTAGGATGGCCTTTCCAGTCAAGCCATGGTGGTTCCAAGCTGAGATCTGGATGGAAAGTGAAATTCCTCTGCATCCTGTGATCTGTTGCAGAGATCCATGAGAGGAAACTGCATCCTCTTCAGCATGAGTCACACCACTGCAAAGCAGGCAAAGGCTCCCTGTGCAGATACAAGCACAGAGGGTGCCCCAATCCTGATGGTTGACCACATGCACCATGACTGATCAAGCACAGGCACAGAGGATTGGCACTGACTCCAGTGAGATCAGATGAGCTCTCCACACCACATAGTCACAAAAGCCAACAAATCTAATATGAACAAGCATCTGCTCTTGGTTTTATCATTCTGTGCTCACTGTCTCCCTGCCAGTGTCAGACAGGGTCCCTGCACATTACAGCCATCATCCCCGATCTGTCTGTAAGGGACAACATCCAGAGTAGTCAGCCTGGCACTGTGATGTACCATGCTGTCCCTTCTCATCAATTTATCCCCATATCAGTGGCTTCAAAATGACTCAGAAGATTGTTAAATACTTCTGGTGGCACAGACCTGAAGCCTCCACAGCAGAAATCCTCTGGACTAGGCATTGACAGGTCCAAGGCATATGTGCTAAAAGCATCACTCTACAGTGGTGATCTTGTGCCTTGATCCAAGATGCTGTTGAGCAGTAACCATCACTATTGTACCCCCACATACCCCTGGGAGGTCAGATGCTTGTGCACTATGGCACTTCGGCATAAAATAAAGCAGCAGATGAAAACTACCTTTTTAATTTTTTTTTTTAAATCAGCATCACAGACCTCCTTCCTGTGTTCATTCCAACCTACTTTCTCTTCTGTTCAGCTCTGATCCAAGGACTCTGTGGATGCCCAAATCATCACACTGTGGAGAGTGCAAAAACAGCGCTGTGCAGTATACTTACAGGTCATGCTTCTGCATCGGCTGCATCCTGCTTCCACGAACACCATGCTGGGGAGACACAGCAGGTCACCCTCCTAGCATGGCAAGACTGTCAGTCCTCTGTCTCTAAGTTCTGCCTGAAGACTCTTTCTAGGGATGAACTCATCAGTACTCCTATGTGAAAACACCCAAAAGTTTCAAGGAACTGAACTTCAGAAGGAAAGATATCTTTGCTCATAACACAATGTAAGAGTCTAAGAAAATTTGGCTTCAGCACCTCCACATGATTTGTGTTTGGATACAGCAGACCCAGTGGTCTATAATCTTCTGCCAAAATGAGCGCAGGGTCTTCCAATCGTCTGAGGATTCTTGTGAGTGGGTTGCACCTGAAGAGCAATTAATGCTGCCTATGAGTCAGAGAGCATCAAACAAACTGCACCTGGGGAAGGGAGGCTAGGCTAGGTCCTGAGTCCCTCTATACTATGCTTGTGTTGCTGTTGCAGTCCTGTCCCACCCTAACTGAAGTGATCCTGACACAAACCAGGGCAAAAGGGGGACAATGGGGTCACAATATCACTCTCTCACACTTAATTATGTTCCATAAATGTCCTTTACCTAAAGCCTTATACTATCTATTACACTGAAATGAAGCATGAAAACAGTCATTTAGATGTTTTTAGTGATACATAGTATACCTAGGATCATGAAACATACACAAGAACCCAAGACTGAAGTGGGAAAGAACCACTAAACTTTATTCCCAAATGGCATTTAAAAAAAAAAAAAGAAAAACTAGCAAAGATATAGTGTAGGACATGGAAATGCATGGACTTATGGGACACAGCATGATCTGGTCCACGCTGTCAGCACCTGCAGAGCGGTAGAGTCAACGTGTGAGAGAGGAGGTTGTTCCTGTTCAGGTCTGGTGAAGTTGAGCCAGCGGTGTCACTCAGACTCTCCATCCATCCTTGTGGTTGCTTCAGTTCAGAGCCAGGACTCCAAGATACAAAATTCAGCTACTGACCTGGACTTCCTCACACTAGACTGGTGTGAGGAAACTTGGCCCTGCTTTTCCTGTAGAAAGCAGTCCCAGTGTGGAGGCTTACAGCTAAAAGGGACCTCAGATGGTTTCCCGCACTCATCTCTTCCTCCTTCTTAGAAACCCTTGCCCTACTGGACACACCATCCAAATTCCCACACTACCTCTGTTCCCTGGAAGCTCCCAACGTTGGTTGCTAGTTCACATTCAGTCCGCTTGCAGACAGTCTCCGTACGGTCACATCAGTCCCAAATGTCCTTGCAGCAGATACCAAAGATCCTTCATGAAAGGATCCAGGGTCTTTCTGTCATGTGAGATCTGGCATGTGCTTTCATCATGGGAAAAGATGGACGCAGAAGAAGCCCAAAGAAACACAGCTCTGAGTCCAGACTTTATGGCTGCTCCCATGGACAATTAGGAGCAGACTCCTTACATCTGGGCAGACAAATAAAACTGAAAGAACCTTCTTCATACTAAAGCTTCACTGGACTATCCAACAAACCATATGCCATTTGTCTTTGCCACTTAAGAGGGAGCTGTATGTTGTCTGTCTTCCTTTATCCTATTGTGCAGCAGGAGCAGAGGAAGAGCAGATTCCAGTTGGCAGCATGCAGAAAGCTACAGAAAGGCTGTGTGAAGGCAGTTCACCTAGAGACCGGGACTGATACAAGGTCAGTGAGCATTTGGCTGAGCTGGTCATCCTGGTGCCATCCAGTGCATTTCATGCTGGCTCCCTGTTCCTTCTGGTCCCCAGTAAAGATGCACCATAGGCTTCTAAAATGCCTCTGTCCTAGCACACTTCCAGCAGTCCTTTATCCAGTACAGAGATAAAGGGCTCCATAGGACACCACATCTGTCTTCAAGAGCGTGAGAGACCTCCATTAAGGTCTACCACAATACATGGGAAGACTCTCAGTTAAGATTCCACTGGACTAAACACTGCACAAGCACTGTTTGGATGAACGAAAGATCCTCGCTTCAAGAGCTTACAGTCTATAAGGACAGAACCACAGCTCCACCACTGTACAGATGTTATATCTACCCACACCCACAGAAAAATGGTCCTAGTAGAAAAGTTTTTCAGAACCGTGGCCCAGCAGGAAGCTGAGCTGGGGTTGGAACTAGAACATTCACTCCTTTCCCCTAAATTGCAATGCAAGAGCATTTCTAGTTACAATTCTTCCAACCTCTGGCTTGGATCTGCAGCCCTGGCACCCTCCTCCAGCCTGCAGAGGAAAACATGGTGACAAAAGATAGTCCTTTTCTGACTGTGTGAGCCCTGGGGCCCCCAAGGGTGCCGTATATGACCAGAGAGGCAATGAGGTGTTGAGCCAGGCAGAGAACCTGGTGAGATGTTTTGTGTCATCCTGCTTATTTACAGACTCAGCTGTTTTGGCCTTGCAAGTTGTCATTGCCAGACTTGTCACTGTCCATTTGAGGTGGGATGAGGAGGGGTGAGGCAAGCCATCCATCTTTGAGGCCTGGGTGAGGGCAGTGGCAATAAATGCAGACTGCCATTGTGCTGAGGCATGGCTCCTGCGTGACACGCAAGTCTGGCAAAGCTTTTCTGAGAAGAGATACTAGTTAGTTTGTATCTTGATAAGGCACTCCCCTTCCACTCCTCACCCTGTCCCAGGTTAGATTCCCATGAACAGCCTGGCAGGACCTTAACATCCCTGCCTGGCACCTCAGCACCCAGCCATGCTCTGCAGACAGTGCCAGGAGACCCCATTGGAAGGGCATGCTGCTAGAAACACTGCAGAACAAATCTGTCCCTGCAAGGCTATTGGGCAGGTGTTTTAAGGCTTTGAACTACAGGCAACTCTGAGGGCTCAGGGCGCTCCCCAAAGCGCCTGTCCTTCACTTTGCACTGACCGCCAGCCTCCAGAGAGGCTGTTCCCCACAGCTGGAGCAGCAGGAGAAGGGAAAGGCCCTGGGACTAGGTGAGGAGGGGAAGAGGGAGACAACTACACCTCTGTTGGGGCTTCAGAGAGCATCCTTAAGGGAAGTCAGGTCCCTGGCTTGCCCTCCAGGATCTCTCTCTTTTATCTTTCTTTTTTTTTTTTCTTTTTTTTCTTTTTTTTTTTAAATAAGCAAAGCTGTTCAATGTCCAAATTACATCTGTTAAAAACCTTAGCTAGGAAAAATATACTCTTGGTTAAGTCCCTTCTCCATTTTTCACCTTGTTTTACATCCAAAAAAAATTAGAAACTGAGACTACGATTAAATAAATACCAGTGCATCACTTAGCTCTTCCCTTTCCCACTTTCCTTCTTCACTCCTGACCCCACAAACAGTTATTTTACAGTTTGTGCAATACTCCATCAGGCTTCACAGGAGCCAGGCAGGTCAGCCTGACAGCTGATTGTCTTTCCTAGGCTCCAGGCTCTCTGCAACATCTTCCAACTCATCCAGGATTTCAGAGAAGGACGGCCTCTTAAATGCTTCCACCTGAAAGAAGATGGGAAATGCTGTAGAGGACAAGTAGTGGGCATTGTGTAGCAGCTCTCCTGGGCCCCTCGAGGCTGCAGAGAAATACTCATCCAGCATCGATACTCTTCTTCAGGCTGAAGAGGCCCAGCTCTCTCAGCCTTTCCCCATAGAGCAGATGTGTCAGGCCCCTGATCATTCTCATGGCCCCGTGCTGGACTCTCTCCAGCAGCTCCACGTCCCTCTTGTGCTGGCGAGCCCAGGAGATTTTGTTTTCCTTTAAGAGATGTAACTTGAATGTTTGCTTGCTTTCTGCTTTGCCCCCTGAGGTTTTGGGCAGCATGGTGAGGCCCTCCAGCCTTCACCATTACTTTCCATGTCAAAACAATACAAGTTGGAGAAACATGACCTGATGATACCAATAGGGCAGGTAACAGCAGGCTGGCATTCTCCAGAGTGGGTCAGCCATCACCTCTGCCTGTAGCTTGACCGTAGAGGAACTGGACACCTTGCACCACCCCACACTCCTACCCTAGTGTTGATAGGTAAGGCTTTGGGACATTTTGGGCTGCCTTTAATGATGCAAATGCAGAATGTGGCCCTAAATCTAGGGCCATAGCTCAAAGAGCATAGTTCTGTGTGCTGCTACTGAGAAGAGCAGGTTCAAGCATGGGAATTTTGGATCATGGGAATTTTGGACTCTATTATACTAGTGTGTTACAAGCTCAGTAAACTCAGAGGAAGTAAAAAAAGAGAAAAAAAAAAGAAAGAAAAGAAAACAGCAAGAATGTTACCCGACAGCAGCAAGCAGCAAGGTCCATCACCCGCTTGGGGCATTCGCTGATCATCCCTTGAAAGGCAATGACATCCAAGCCATAATCCTGTGTGGAATGGGAAGAACATGGATCAATAACTGGTCTGGCAGAGGGGAACTGGTCACAGCTACATAGGATCAGGGCTGGAGCTTCTGCAAGAGAAGGAGAGAGTAGGCTGGTGCAGCCTCAAACCTTTCTGTTGTTCAAAATACGTCCCACACTTCTTTTGCTTATTAAGAAAGGCTGTTCCCCTGAGTTTTATCCTCCTCTTAGCTGCAAATGCCACCCTTTTACTCAAAACCACCAGAGAAAAAGGAGTTTTACTGAGAGAAGATGTAAAAAGATAAAAGAGACTCAGCTACAAACTTCTTTAAAAGCTTTCTACAAACTTCTTTAAAAGCTTTTTACCCTTCTCAGGGTGTCAAAGCACATAAATGCTCATGGATTAAAGCACTTAGGTTCTCTATCACAGCCACTGATGGCTCTCTCTCTATCACTGATGGCCATGGAGGACCATTAGCCGTGCCAGAAGTGCACAGCTGGTAAGTCATTATCAGAACTGAGAGAAGCTGCAGCACCCTTCTGCTGGCTCTGTGCTCTCCCCACTGGGCAGTGTGTGTCCTACCAGAAAAAAAAACACAGATACTAAGGCAACAAGGGCCACAGAGATGGAAAACCACCGGTAGAGGCACCAGCAACAGGTGAGGTGCTGAGCAGTGAATGCTGACATCGTGAACTGAGGATAATCTGATTATCCAGCAAGAACTAAGAATTTGTGGGATTGGGCCAGCTGTTTCCATAACTACAGTTTCACCCCTTCACAGTCCCTCATATGTAATTTTCATTCATCTGGTGAACACAGATGGAGCTGTAGTTCCTGTTTAGTCTCATAGAAATATGGAATAATCTCCATTCACTACAAATTCTATTTTTTTGTTTCTACAAGTTTGTTTAGAAAGAAGCTATTTTCTTGCTGGATTTTTCACCCCTATTCAGAACAAAAATAAAGGAGCATAATATTTTGTGGGAGGCAAATGTTGTAAATATTAAAAAAAAAAAACACGTTTTCTAGAGAAGTCCACTGTTTCCACATGAACTACCTATTAATTTCAACATAGTTCATGTCAAAATACACGTTTGTCATGACAGTTTTATTTAACCTGCCACGTCAGTGTAAAAGCTGGCATGTCATAGCCAAATTAAACATTCCATAATAAGGTTTTTAATAACATATTTAGCAAAAGCACTGAAACTGTTCATGATCACTCTTGCCTAAATAAGATACTTTTGACTCAATAAGATTTCTCAACCAAAAAAAAATCTAGAGAGAAAGCAGAGCTTGCACACCTGTGTATATATAGAGAGATACACATGCAGCATTACACCATTTGACTGCCCTGGATTCAGGACCATACGGTCCAGTGAGAAGCCACGATGGAGAAAGGGTTGTTAAATTTGGTTCCAGAAGTCCTTACCTGAGTCCTGGGAAGCACTTCAGGATCAGCAGGTATCCTACCCAGGATTTCACAAAGGACAATGCCAAAGGAGAACACATCCACCTGCAGGGAGGATTGCAGAGAGGAGGATTTAGGTGTGCACAGAAGTAAGGCATGAGAAAGGGTAGGACTGATGACATGGTTCTCCTATTAGCCATGCAAAATCCATCAAAAGTCTTTCAGAAATGGGAGAAGTGAACACCTCTTACAGACCTGAACTGCTGGGTTTCTGAACCTGTCCGGAAACATACAACCCTACTTGGGTTCCAGTTCCTTCTTTGGAAAAAGTACTCCCATGCCCTTGTTCAAAATATTCAACATAGCTGGCACTTCAACCATAGCTCTGCATGTCCCGTAAGTAGCGTACAATAGTTTATCTGGGCTGTAACTCCTCAGTCATATTCCTTGGAGACTTTGTCCAAAGCAGGAATCCATTCCTCTAAGAGTTTAAGAGTCTAAGAGTAACTTATCAAGGCACAAGGTACAAAAAGAAGGTTACCCAGGTAATGAGGGAAAGGTTCTCTTGCTGTTGGGACATGACATATCACCAAAAAGCAAAGGAGACATTCCCCATGCTTGCTCAGGAGCTCTGGGGCTAAACAAGGGGCTGGGAAGCAGCAGCATACCTTCCGGTCATAGGGCTCTCCCCGCAGCATTTCAGGAGCCATCCAGAAAGCAGAGCCCACCAGAGACAACTTCCTCTCCACGTTCTTCATGGGCAGCTCCACCACCTCCCTGGCCAGGCCAAAGTCAGTCACCAAGGCTTCACGGCCCCGCGGGGTTACTCGAATGAGACAGTTCTGAAAGCAGCCCAAAGGACACAGCATGAGATGACAAGGCAAGTAAGAGTGCTTCACCAGCACTCAGCCCCACCTGTTACAGGTTCTCTCCTTGTCAGATACCTTCATCATCCTGACAGGATGTACTAATGTGCATGGGGCATATGCTAGACCTCAGTCAACTTCATCTGGAAAGATTTGATGTCTAAAAATCAGTTTGAATGAACTGTTCTTCATCCTGTGTCCATGGAAGACTTCTGGTTCACTGTCCATTCCATGCCTGCACTCCAGCAGGAGCCCTCAGTACATGAAGACCTTTGCCCATTCACTACCACAGCACTTCCAACTCCCTGCTGAGTCAAAGATTCAGTATTAAATTTTAGTCCCAAGAAAGCTGGACTGAAATCTGCAAAGCTACTTGTCACGGACATGATTTTCCATATGCTTTTATCTGAAACAGATCCAGAAGTCTGTGCTTCAGCCTTGCTCACTGCTCAGCCAAAGGTGTGCAGGATTACAGTCACAACCTTTCTTATTGACCAGGAATATATGTTCCTTAAATGATAGTTGCTACCTTTCTAGGTCCTCAGCAGTGTTTTGTGGTGCCCTGCACATTCCTGCAGAGTACAAAGCAATAACTAGACTATCAGATATTATAGACTCTAATAGAGGATATGTTCATTATAGAACAGGTCGTATAGTCTCTAGACAAATCAGTTTAAACCAACAACACATAAAGATGATATACTCTTCAGTAGTATATTGGCTGGTTTCTTTATGGAACAATTTCTATTGAACTCTCTTAAGGTTTCTTGAAAATACTAGTGGTTTCAGTCTGTTGAGTTCTCCAGGGTTTCCTTCTTAGCATCTTCTCTAAAAGAGTTAATACAAACAACAAAAAGACTCTCTAGATGTCTCTAACAACCAGATTTCATGTGAATACATATACTTGTTCCCTCTCATATCTTTTTAGACACCATGATTAGAGGAAAGCCCAAGATTCCTGGGGAAGGATAAAATTCTTTAGAGCTCAAGCACTAATAATAATGGACAGGCAGTAACCTGAGACACTCCTTAACTTTCCACAGGAAGATCTGGAAAGCTCCTGAGCGACGCATTAGCAAACAGGAAATTACATCTCAAATAACTTGGCCCACTGGCCAGGAGACCTGTGGTCAGAATGAACCAGACTATTACCTAGTTTTCCATTTGTGTGTACAATTTCATGGTTAGTACCTGAGCAAGCAAACAGCTGTGAGATTAAAAAAGGAGGCTTGTTTCCTATGCTGATGTTTCAAGACTGTAATACTTGTCTGGCTTTGCCAGTGCTTCATCAATATTTCAAGTTTCCTTTAAAAAGCACACAGAGCACTGACAGGAAGAGCCTGTAAGAGATACCCCTCTAACCACACAGCATCAACTGCAGTGACTTGCAAACTTCCTTTCCGTAAATGATCAGGCCAGCCTCTGGATTCACATTACTCAGACATGGTCCGGGCTGGTCACCAATCCCCAAACTCACATGCAACCCTCTGTCTCTAATACTGTGGACATGCTGGAGATGCACCTGAAGAGTCCAAGGGTAGGTTTTGCTGAAGGCTGATCAACAACAAGGCACTGCCCCATGACGTTGCTACATCCACATCAGCGGGAGAGCAACAGCCACATCACAGACTATGCCTGCAAACACACCTGAAAGTGGCAAAGACTCACCACTCCACCTGCCACCATCCAAGTGCCACATGTCCAGGCAGAGGAAGGCAAGTGGTCCAGACAGAAGGTGAATATACCAGAAACATGATGTGCCACTGGTCTGTCTTCAGACACCAGACTTTGCTGGCAGCATGCTGACAAAGTGTGAAATTGCTGAGGAGGTCACTAACCTATACTTGTGGACTGAAGCATAAGGATATACAACGTGCAATCTCCTACAACATAGGGAAGGAGACATGTGCTCAGGGTGCCAGTGTTGCTCTGAACGCAGAGAGCTCACCATCCCACACAATGCTTGCTCACAGAGCTTGTAACCACCTTTCTACTAACAGCAGCTTCCTACTTGCTGTGAGTGGGAAAAGAAAACTGTAAGTTGTGCAGAGCTTATCTTGCAAAGCTAGTCAAAGAAAATCATGTGCAATCCTGCACACACGTTTCCACTTCTGACAGCATTTCCACTTTCTGACAGCAACCACACTAGGAGGAATATATTTTTATCTCTGTCTAGGTTTCCCACTTGCCTAGTGATGAATGCACTGAAATTAAAGGGTTTTTCAAGCTTCCCCGGCAGGCTCACACAGAACAGAGGATCAATGTGAGGCCTGAGGCCTACTGGTTGCAGACACTAAGTTCTAAATGGTACTGTGAATTCCCTCGACTCAGCCTGCCTTCAGCGGCTCAGGAGTAACATCCCTTTTCCAGCTGTGTACCTTGGAGTTGAGATCCCGGTGGTAGATGTTCTTGGAGTGCAGGTAGATCATGCCTCTGGTGATGTCAGAAGCCAAGTCCACTTTCTCCTTCCAGGTCAGAGCGATGTCTTTGCTAGCCAGGAGCTCCTCCAGGCATCCCCCATTCACATACTGTGAACAGAGGGGAAAAAAATGGGAGGCTCTGGAGCTGGTCCCAGGCATTCCTGAAGCCTAGATGTAAAACAGTCACCAGAGCTGGAAACTCCACTTTTGGTCTCACCTGCAGTGAGATGTGTGCTATGCTGTGTTCTTGTGACTTCAACTTTTTTTTTTTTTTTTAGGCACCATTTAGGCTTTTACTGTATGCTACACCACCACGCCAGAGCCACCTTGTGTCCGTGCCTGCCAGCCTGTATCTTCTTGTTTTCTACTCCATCCCTTCTATCTCCTGACTCCTCTGCTCACCCCCAGGATGGTCCATTCTGCCGCTCTGGTGGCACTGGGCTAATGTAAGACATCTCTTGTCTATTATGCCTGAACCTCTTGGCACAGCAGTAACTGTGGTTCCCTCTTGCTGTGAGCAGTTATGGATGAGAGAGGACCAGAAATCTGTGCAAGTACCAAGAAACTCTTCTAGACCAGAGCCATTTACAGGCCAAGGTGTGAGAGAAGCCCCGATGTGCATTTCAGGTTATCTGCCATTCTCTCTGGCAAAGAACTGCAGGGTCCTTGTCTGCCCACAGCACACTTACAAGCAGAAACCTTTACCTCCAGAATGGGGTATAGCTTGTCGTCCTTCACGCATATCCCAAGGTACCTAAGGCAGAAGGACACACCAGAAAAAAAGCAAGACATTAGGGTTCAATTCAACTCCTTATCACAGAATTGCCTTAGAGACATTGAGATGTACTTGAGCCCCTACCAATCTTCACCACTCAGGGCCAGGTGATGTGCTCACCTGACAATATTGGGGTGGGACAGCTTCTGCAGCAGGCTGATCTCACGGATAATCACCTCCTGGTCCACATCATTCTTGTAGATCTTCACCACCATCACTTTGCAAGTGGCAGCCTGCGTCACCTAGAGCCAAGTTTGGAGTAGGACACCTCTTAGTTCCCAGAAGTCTGCCAGCGTCTCTGAAAATGGCACCTCTTCCCAGCCAAAGACCCAGATCACATTTCCCTGTTGCCAGGAACTTTGCAGAGTAATTTCTACAACTGCAAGGTACTGGCCCTTCCACTTAAGCTGCACTGCAGTGTTGCTTACCTGGGAGCAGCCAGGCGCCTCCTGCCCCAGCGTATCACAACTCTCAGCGCCAGCCAAAACTTGAATGAAACTTTGGCCAGAGCCCTTCTTCTGCCTGCAGTGAGGTACTGCAGAGATGTCCCTTTCCTCCCAGTGCCCTCCATTCAGCGTTCCTTCTTAACCACAGCCTTTGTCCTAAACCTTTCTTCCCAGCCCTCCTGACCCCTTCCTGCCTGGATCCGATCACTGCAAGGGGCTGCTGGCCATGATTCTTTTCCTTGTAGACTCCTGAGCCCCTTCCCATGACTCAGTTGCCCTCTGCACCCAGGATCCACTGCACAAACATGATGAAGGAAGTGGTGAGTCAGACCGCTTCTCCCTCCCATTCTAAAATGGAAGATTCCAATCTAGTCTTCCCTGTTGTATGTTAACCTGAAAATCTGCTGTGGATTAGAAGACATATTTAATTCCTACAACTTCCTTCTGGTAGGGATATTGCAAGCCAAAGAAGAGAAAAAAACCTGCTCCCCACCTTAAAACACGTAGGGAGGAAATCTTCTGTCTGCATTGGAGGTATTAGGAGAGGACACTACCGCATGTGGGGGTTTGACGTGGGCTGCTGGACATACAAGGATTTTGTGGTGCTCATCCTCAAGAGAACCATGCAGGACCTGCAGGGAACAGCACTGCTGTCCATGACATTTGGGTTGAAGATCCAAACAGCAGGTTCCAGATCACATCATGGGGCAACATGATACTTTTGGCATTTCCATTCTCAGTTAACATCTGCTTTAAGGAATGACATGTACCAGATATTGCCAAGCCCAATGTCCTGACAACTCTCTCATGGAAAAGAGAGAATCCAGCCTCATTTTAACCTAACTTTTTTTTCCTATTTATTTTATGATCAAAATAGTTCAAACATAACTTGAGCTGGCGTAAGAGCAGAGCTCTTATCCCCAGAGCCTGTACCCACTGCTCTCCATGCAGGCTACTTATGGATAAGGTTACCAGTATCACTAAGGAGAACAAAGAACTGCATGTAAGACTGCTGGACTGGAAAAAGTCTCCCTATAATCAGGGTTACAAAACAAACTGTCCTGGGAGCAACACGAACTGCTGTTTCCTTCCTGAAGGAATGCTACCTGATGCTTATCGCTGGAAAAACATTGCTTCTGTATTCAAATGAGTCATAAAGAATCCAGAGACCCAACAGGGTCACCTAATGGGACTTCATAACCACAGAGTGTGAGTCACTAATCAGATCAAAATGATTATTAAATGTAACTGTATAAATATAACTATAAAAGATGCTATCAAGTCTTTGCCCTAAGACTGTGTGCCTAAGACAGAGTACAAGAAGCAAAAATAATCTGGAAGCTTGTAAAGCTTTAAGAAGAGGTAACATTCAGTTCTAATGAGCCTTATTAGCTCTGCACAAACTCTGGTAAAGATCTGCACTGAGTTCCACTTAAGCTTGCGTTTTCCAGAGGGATGCACAACCTGGGAGCAGGTAGAGTAGATAAGTGCTGGAGGAGTATCTATCTGCAAGGAGCACCCATAGCAATGAAAAGTCCAGTCTAGTCTAAACTCAGCAAAATAAAGAGAAGAAATAACCAAAAAGCAAGGACACTACCCAAAAAGCAGTGGGAGAGATAGGCAAAGGGAAAGGCGAGAGATGAAATGAATAGTGAAACATAAGAGTGCAGATCTATCCAAACTTTTTCCAACTTCTGACTTTGATTCTATGCTTTGATTTGTGTATGAAATATATATGGGATGACTAAACAAGTGGGGGAAAGAAAAAGTCTGTCCAATAGCTCTGTGCAGCAGCACAGTGAGGAAGGAGTGCTTGCACTTGAGAAATGTAGCAGACAGTCAAGCCCATGAGAGCAGTCCTACCTTCACAAGGTACTAGCTCCAACAGGAACATCCATCATCTCCTCTACAGAAATGATATCCCCAGCAGAGAATGGTCCTATATTCTTCTTCATTGCTCCCTGCCCCTTACCTATGTCAAATATATTGTGGTGTCAAATCCTTCAGGTCTCTCTAGGTACAATATGTCACCTCGAAAGGTGCAAAGTTCAAAAGTGTTCTTGTGTTTTGTTTTGTTTTTTTTTTTTCCAAACTGGAGACTCATTCTGTGCCAGTAGGAATCTGATTTCAGGTAGCATTGTTTTGTTTTGCATATGAAGTTTGTGCTGTTAAGTGGTAACTGAGAACTTCATCAGCTCATGTCTTTCCCCCATTATTCATTTTTAATTTGTTGATTTCTTCCTCTCCAGCAGCAGCTCATCGCAGGCATTAGGATAATGAAGCAGTCTCATAATGCTTTCCATTACCATTCTGTGACATATGTCTCTTTGGTTTATTAATTTTTAACCCAGTCCTAGTCTTCTGTCAGCTTCTTCTGTTATTAGCTTAGACGCAGGAGACGAATTCCTTCTCTGACACTATCAGACTCACTCTCCATCAAGACTTTTGCCTTGGATTTGAGAACAAACTTCTAAGATGGAGTAGATCAGAAGAAAATTAAACTTGTCTTTCTGAAAGAAGAAAATCTGACACTTCAAAGCTGCAGAATGACACAGTAGGAGAGCCACAGAAAAAGAAGTTCCTCTTGACCGCTGTTTTAAATTAGTTCCAGAAAAAAAAGGATTATCTTTGCATTCCTCTGCTGCTTTCCAGCATTTCAAATCCCGGCACATCAGAGAGCATGAAGTTTCACTGACAGTTTTCTCCAAGAGAAACTCATACTTGAATTATTCTACAGCAGAAAACTAAGGCAGAGAAGAAGGAGCAATACCTTATACCCAGCTCATGCAATACAACATTCACTGACACTGTCATGCCCAAGCTGCTTGTTTCCTAGTCACAAAAAACGAACCTTTTCCTTTAGCCAAACTACATAGAAAGACCCCTTAATGTGGGCTTAAATGTAGGACAAGGGATGACAAAAATCAGCTAACAGTGTTTGAGTGCCAGCATCACAAATGTGGCTTTGGGGAGGCTCTGTCGTCCCTGTAGGAACCCTTTGAAAGACAGCATCCATTGGCAAAAACCTTCAAAAGGACCATCATAGATGACGCTATGCAGCAGGAATGCTGCTAATCAGGGCCGAAAGTCCAAAGGAGCCTGGCTGACCCAAGGAGAACACAACTGAGCACTTGCTTACAGTTGCGCTTGAGTCCCCAGACAAATGTCAAGTCCTGACAAAGGACAATTCCAAATCCTTCTCCACTGTATTCTGACCTTTTTGACCTGCAACATTTCCTTCAAGCTTTTTTAAATTTTTTCCATGACTTTTTCTCCATCTGTTTCAAAATCTTATTTCCCTTCCATTCACGATCTGTGCCTCCAACCTGCCTACTACTGGAATCTCATTCATTGCCAGGGCAGGATTTAAATGTCAACTGCAGAGGAAACAGCAACTGTTACTATGAAAATCTGCTAGATAAAAGAAAGAGAAAGCAATGGCAACAAAACACTGTGTAGGTGGGGAAAGTAGTTACCGGAGGGAGACTGTATGTTAGGGAGAGGTATGTGTCATGCATTGCTCCAGTGTCAGCAGAGCTGCCATAGACCTTTGGCTGAAGATCTTTGAACATCTTTATTTCGCTCTCTGTGAGCCTGAAATTCACTCGCTGGCTATACACACAGCAGAGGATGAGGGGGTGGTTAATAAAGACAGGCTTAAGAAAGCAATATGCAGTAATCTGTCCAATTTGCCTATAACACTTTTTGTGGCTCCAAGACTAGATATTGCCAGTCTGTCTTCAACAGGGTGTATAATCCTGTGGACTTGATTATACCAGCAAGGGATCTCACATAGAAAAAAACACCAAATTATTGCTTTGGCAGTAGCATCTAGTGTTGGTCCAGGAGAAACATATGATCATGATGTCCAATCCAGGCCTGCTCAAGCTAAGTACCAGAGAGAGATGGTAGAGGCAAATCCAAAACCTGTTTCTATTGCCTCTGTGTCACATTCCAGCTAACAAGGTCAGTGTCAGGAGCCACATCCTGGAGGGCTGCTGGAAAATGAGATGACAAATGGGTAAACCTCAGCACGCTGCAAAGCAAACAATATCTGCTTTGCAAACTGCTTTGTAAACAACAGCTCCGTGGTTGAAGCCTGGAGTCTCACTCAATGCAAAGCACCTCTTTTTGTTATTCCTAACAAAGTGATCACAGAGGGCTGCTCACCTCAAATAAGCATTGGGGAGATGTTAAAGCACTGCTGGGCTAAGCAGCAGCACTGGAGTGGAAGCAAAGCCAGCAGCACCCTGGATCCTGTGCTTACCTCCTGTTTCCTAACGAGAAGGCAGCAGAGGCCAGAAGTTAATGGACCAGCAGCCCATCCCAGCCCGACAGAACCACAGGGTCCCCTGCTTCTTCCCAGCATCACTCTGACGTGCTGCAGCAAGGCACCCCAAGAGGGACAAAGGAGCTGCTGCCTGCATGAGGCATGGGCAGCAGGTATTCTGGGACACACACAGCTTAATTTGGGATTCTTTTCCTATATGTTTTGCTTTATTTTTTGCAACAAAACATGCACAGAGCATAAATAACCCCTCAGCTCATCCTGTGGTTACCCTGTATCCATAGATAGCTCTATGACAAGCCTGTTGTATTGGTAGATTATAGTATCAATGAACATCGCTCAGCCAGCTCCTCCCATTTCTCCTTTTTCTTTGAAAGACAGATAAAATCCTTCAACACTCCTAGTCGAAAGGAGATGCACATTGAAGGAGATGTGTTGGGTATGCACATCCCCTCTCTTATCCAAAAAAACTTGCCAGGGTGAGCAGGGAGGGAGGAAGACAAGGAACAGGCTAGAGGATGGGCTCCTCAGATGGGGCACTGTTTACACAGACACTTGGCCAGCTACTATGCTGTTCCCACACAGCTCAAGGGCTGTTTGCATGTCAGGGCAACCGCCCCTCACTATACTGGGTCATCCACAGCACTTTTACCTTGTAGACCTTGGAGAAGAAGCCACTACCTATCATCTCAGCGTTGAAGTTTTCCCAGAACTCCAGCTTCCTGACAGCCGTGCGGAGCCTCTGCCAGCGGTCAACGTGGTAGTAGGTATCCGGTGATTCGCCATAGTACTGCATGGGGCCGGAGGGCTCCGGTGCGATCAGCCCTGTCTCGCACATCGTGGGGCAGCAGCTACAACACAGCATATTTTACAATAAGCCAAAAGCAGCAGACACATATCAAACAAATAACTGCACTAAGTACCTGCTCTGGATGAAGCCTCAGGAGTGATGGGAGAGCGGACAAGGCACTGCACAGCCATGAAGTAGTCAGAGCCACACATTGCACTAGAAGCATTGGCCTTCTCTTTGATAAATCACCTTGGGCTTAGGCTTGCTTTATGCAGAATTTATCTGGACTTCTTTAGGATTTAAAGATGTCAAGCCACCACAGGTCCACTTATACCTTTTAAGGGTCCAGGATGGATAGGGTGCATCATCTTCAACATATGTTCCAGCATCCCAGAAAAAGATTGAAGAACTATTCCTTGTTCGCTTAGTTGATACTGGATTAAAACTGACTTTGCCTAAAGTAGACTTTTAATAAAGGTCACTCAGCACATACTAAAGACACAATGGTTACCCTAGAGCATAAGACATGACTTAGCCACCATTGCAGCCAGAGGGTTGGGGCTTTAGTAGCCTTATTATCATTTGAGTAGCATTATTCATATTTCCTTTAGCAAGGAAATGCCCCAACATCCCTCTTTAATTCTACATTTAAACATATTCTTCTATTCTTCCTATCCTGAACCTGTCTCCAGGCCTCCATCTCCCTCTTCAAAATTATCTTCCCCTTCCGTTGCTCTGATTCTCAGTTTCCTCTACAAACTTCTTTTCCCATTCCTACTTCTGCTTTTTACAGCATCAAGTTCACACTCCTCCAAGGCTATATGCCATGTCCCCCGCTCTGACACACCACTTGCATCCAGTCATTTCCAAAGGTGCAGGCAAAGCAAAGCCAGGGAAAGCAGATCATGCACCTTCTTTTGGGAAACTTTAAACACCTACTTGTCTGCTACAAGGCAGTCAGAGCAGTTTTCACTTAAAGCAGCCGTTCAGAGATACCCTGCGCCCCTAGAGCTCACCTAGTCTTTATAGTCTGCCACTAATAGCATTTGCAACTGCTGCTTTGCCAAACTGTAACCAAATGATAAAAGAGTCAACAAAAGTGTAATTCTTTGTTTCAGTTGGAGACTTTGACGAAAAGTGCTACCTTCCCTAAGTTTTGGTCATAGGTATTGCACAAATTGCACAGCAAAGGGCTGTATCAGCGTTACTTGATCTGGTGGATTACTTTAGGACTTCATTGCCGATACACAGGTAGGCAAAATCTGCACTGAGACACACATAAAACATTTGCAGTAGCAGCCTCCTCCACCCATAGTCCACCAAAGTGAGGATTTCCTCCAATCACCAACATGAATAGCAAGAGAACTCCAAGCAATAGCTCAGGGAGCTGCAAAACAGCTGCAACCACGAGCAAAACTTCAGAAAACAGCCAGGTGCCACAGCTTGCAACACCAGACAATTCCCCCATGGACTGAGAAACTCAGTCCCACCAAAACCAACAGGACAAATTGTCTCCTATTTGATTTCATGGCAAACACTTGCTGGACTGAGGTCTGGGAACTGCTCATGAGTAGGGAAGAGCTCATGTCTACCAGCCAATAAGTCCAAAATGTGGCAGCGTGCACTTAAATCAGGCAGAGAGGATGAAAGAGGTAACAGGGACAGAGATTTAGATCAGCTCTGACTCATGGACACAAGCGTGATGAACTTCCTTCAATGACATCCACCTGCAGGGATCTGCTGGGTCTTTTTCTTGGGAAGGTTTCTGCTCCTGAGAGTCAGCACTGACACAGACCTGCCTGAAAAATGCCAATACCAGTCCCCACCTCATATAGCTCAAGCCTAAGCACTCTGCCATACGTCGATGCCAAGAGGAGGCCTGCACAGGGGCAAGGGGAGGACCAACGTGATGAAATAATCACATTCAGCCCTGCTAAAGCCCTCTTGCTCTGGATGGGACCACTGAAACGTCATTGAGATCCCACAAGTGGCTGTTTCCCTAACATGCAAAATGGAACTATTTTGGCAGGGCTTGGGATGGGGGTGAAACAGGGCAAGGCACTGGCTCATGGTCATGGCAGGGTGCAGCAAGGGACCTTTTATTTAGCCTAAGGCTGTGGACAGTTGAGGGTCATGGGGCATAAGAGGGACAGTAGGGACCGAGGGAGTGAGATGTAGTAGCTGTCCTCCACTTCTGACACATTTGGCTAGCACACAGAGATGTTGACAGGGCCTGATAGATCCTGCAGACCCCAAACCACCAACAAATGGCATAGAGTCACCCTGAGGATCAGGGAGGCCCCCCAGCCTCAAAGGAGATGCATTCTCCAGGCTTACCCAGCTCCCTCCCCAGTCCTGGGTCATGGGGTGTTGTCCTCTCCTATTCTGCGGCTGCAAAACCAGTCCTGGAGCAAGGCACAAGCTTACCCTGGAGCACTGGCCACTCACTGGCAGAGCCGTCCGCTAAACACACAAGCATTTCTTCAGAAGGCTCTGAGAGTCCTTCCCTCAATATTAGCAGGCTTTAGTAAAAACAATAACAAAAAAGAGCGGATGGGGGGAAGAGCTTTTCCTCCACAGACCTGCACATGTGCAGGTGTCCCTCTCTTCCAACAGCCTCAGCAGAGCTTGTCCTGCCTCCAGCATCACTGGAGCACCATCGTGACAGGTCCCCTCAGGGCAGGGCTGGCTGCCCGGGAGGTGCCCCTTCCTCAGGGAACTGCTTTCTTTTCAGAGGCCTCTCTGTTCTGAGCTTTTCCCCATGTACCATCCCTTCCCGGCCTGACCTAGTTCATCAATTACCTCTTTGTCCACAAAAGAATTCCATCAGTACCCTCAGCATGCTGGAAACGGCCCCTTGCATTATGCTGCAGGAGTGGGAGCCGACTCTTTCTTTTCTCTTTATAAATGCGGCTGTTTGTCCCCAGATTAGTGCTGACATGCAGGCTGGGGGAGAAAATGACATGTAGGCTGGGGGAGAAAATGGCCTTTTGAAATGCCAGGATTTATTTGAAGGGTCCCTAGGATCTGGAGAAGGAGGGGGAGAGGGTGCGAGAAGCACTGCCAGGGGCAGGACGCGTCTCAGGGAAAAAAGCCTGCAGGCAGCACAGGGAGAGCAGCAGGGCAAAGCACATCCTCACGTCACCATGGAGGCCTGCAGCATCCAAAGCCACGCTTTTGCATGAGCAAAGCACTTGAAGCAGCTGTCTGTATCCTTGGTGTTTCCAGCTCTGCCCTGCTGGAATTCCATCCACGCAGGAGGAGCAGACTTGGCTGCGGTAAGAGATGCCAAAGCCAGTGCCGAGCTGACTGCCCTGGTCCAGCCACGTCGGCTGCCCCACCACTGCAGAACTGCTCTTTGCCTTTGAGGCTGCCTCTTCTGCAGGGAAGGAGGAGATGCAGCGGGAGACCTTGGTTCTGCAGCCTTCTACTGCTCTTTGGCCAACCTTCCCGCATCCCCAAGGCTCCTGCAGCTGCCCAGCATGAGCAAGAAAGCCCCCTGTGCACAGTAGCCAAAAGGCACCTCCCACCTCCTCCTGTGTTGAGATAACAGGCAGACGAGAAATTTAGGGAAGCTGTAAAATGTCACTGTGTGGGAGGCCTCAGCCCAGCACAACAGGGGAGATCTCAGGGCTGGTTTATTCCCTCCTTACAGCAATAAAGCACTCACGTGTCCAGAATATCCCACCTGCAAGTAGGCTTGGTCTTGACCCGCGTCAACAGCGCATCTGCTCGGCTCTCCCAGACATTATTCACAGTTGGAGTTGGCCTGCCCTGGCCATATGAATCAGGCATGGGCTGTGTGCTGAGGACTCAAATATTTCTGGAAAAAAATAAAAAAGAAAAAGGTTGGAATGGACTCTTCCTCCCTTCACCTGCCAGAAAAAGATCTTTGGAGATCTTCAAAACCCGCTTGGACGCAGCCCTGTGCCACGTGCTCTAGGTGACCCTGAGTGAGCAGGGGGGTTGGACTAGATGACCTCTGAGGTCCCTTCCAACCTTAAGCATTCTATGATTCTATGATACCCAACCCTCCTCCTTTGCCACGTTTCCTAGGACTTTTCTCCTTATTTCTTCTTCCTGAAGACACTTTTCTTCTTCTGCAAAGACACCTCTGCCCATAAGTGGGAAGGCGGATTGTTCACAGAGGTTGTCCTGGATGGGGAAGCCTAGCGGCCTGAGCCTTGCTCAGCTGAGCAGTATGCAAACACTATCTCTATCTGGTGCTTATTCACACGCCATGCAAAAACATTCTGTGATAGCAACAGTGCTATACTCAAAACATCTTTGCTACAAGAGTCTGGAAAAAAAACATGCAAAACCAAAGCCAGGGCTATGTGGTCAGCAAGGGCTGTGCCAGATACAGCAGGACTCAAGGAGTCCATGGTAGGATGGATGGACAACAGAAGGTCTTTTGCCTGCAGAACCCCTGTGAGCAGATGGGCTCCACCAGCAATATAGAGGGTCTCATCTAGCTGGGACACTTGACAGCAGGAGCAGTGCCTCTTCCCAACCCCAGAGCTCCTTGCATGACTCTCGCCCCATAACAGCCAGGCAGGCTTTTCCAAGGAAGCAGGAAACAGTCTCTAGCTCCAGGTTATCAGCAGTCAGCGGCATCTCCTGCCAGCATGATGGACACAGCACCACTCCTCGTGCTCTCCAGGCCTCTCTGAATGAGTCCACAGAGGGGAAGGCTTTCACTGCACCCAACAGGCACAGGCTGGAGGCACTGGCTCCTTGGCAAGCATCTGCCAAGGTGGAGCAGAGCCAGTATCACAGGTGGCCCTTGCAGACCCCCTGGACCACGCCAAAGCTGTCACCATGCAATCCTAAAAACACCAGAGCCAGAAGCTTTTGACCATTCCAGGGGATTTTGCACTCATTCTCATCCATTTATTGTAAAGCAAGGGATTCACAAGAGAATTTTTAAGAAAAGGAGGTGTCAGCTTGAAAGAAGTAAAAGGAAAACCTGAGCATTAGTGGCGGAGAGGGAAGAGACCTTGGAGTGGGGAAGACAGGGAGAGCTGGAATCGTCCTTCATGTGGCCCCAGCAGAGATCAGAGATCACCCTGCTGGCACTGCAGCCTGCACAGAAGCTAGCTGGATAAACAAAATCCTTGCTGGAACTACTCTGCATTTATGCCTGTCCCAGAACAGATGAGGACTTTCTTCCACTTTGTAATGGACACCAACAAATCTTCTTGCAGCATAAGGAGAACACAGTAAGCCAAAGAAAATCAAAATCATTTGCTGACCAGAATCATGTTTCTGATGCTAAAAAAGGCACCCTTAATTTGAAATCCTAACCTTCCAAAATATATATATATAAAATTAAATATATTGTGTGTACATATGTATATACACAAATACATATGTGTATGTATAATAGATATACATATTTATGATAAGTGTGTATATACAGATAACTATATAATTAAACACATATTTATATATTTGTGTAACTACCCCATGGAACCTGTCAGGAGGCCTGGGGCAGAGGCTGAACACAGATCAAAACTCTTCCTGCCTAATGAATGGATGGGTTATTCCCCTTAGACAAAAGTGTGGTGCTCAGAGGGTGAGGAATGTCAGGAAAGGCCTACGAACAACAGCTCCTACGAGCACAGGGACTAGCTGACTTTCCACTGATGCCAGCATTACCCAAGATAGCAATTAGCTTTTTGCAGACATCCTCAAATTACATGAGAGCATCTAAGCTATTTTTTCCTCAGGCTAACACCCAGTAGATTCAATCTCTTCAATCAAAAGATATTTTCTGATGAAAAAAAAATTTAAAAAGGCAAGAAAAAGAAAACACAGAATGAGGTTCTCCACAAGAAGAAAAATTGAAGTAAATTACTCAGCGGGGACAACGGGATACTTGCATTTCATTTGAGCACGAGCACTTTTTTATATAAACTAAAACAAATAAAACATAAATAAGGAAATCAAGACTGACACCTCAGGGAGAACAAGTGGCAGGATAAATCATTTTCACTTTGTACATCCAATTGCTGATTACACGTCTGTCAGAAGGGACATCCACGTGCCACAGGCCTGGATGAAGCTTCTCCTTGCCTGGAGAGCACCAACCTCACAGGCCTGGACCGCAACCCAGGGCTCAGCTTCCCAGTGGTCATCACGGCTCTGATTTCCCAGCGCTGATTCAAACTTCTCCCTTGTCAGATAATAAACAGACCTTAGGAAAGACGTAAAATCTGGGGGGAATCTGTTTCCCCATGAGATTTAAACATACAGGAAAATCATGAGAAAAGTATTCAGAAATGTAAACTCCCTGAAAAGTATAAAATTTCCAGGTGAAGGTCTATGATTGAAACTACCTGCAAGGGCAAGATAAGCTTTGAACAAGCTCTTCCAGCCTTAAAAAGTTGTATTTCCTATAGCTTTTAAGAAGGAGACTAACCTCATGTAATGTCAAGCTTTAGCAAATTACATTTCTGAAAGACAAGTCAATCCCCTGAGATCCCTCCATCCCCAGGGGAGAGGTCCTCCAGTGACCAGTTGGACACAATTAACTTACTGTTAATCAATTATCTTATCAATAAGATAATCATGTCCAACTGGTCACTCCAGCTTACTCAGTTTTATACCTCTGTCAAGTGAATGCAATTTTAAATGGCTTAGGAGTTTCCACTGCTTTTACAGACACATCAGGCCAGAATGCATAAAGATACATAGGTGGCAATGGCTCAGCGGTGAGTCAGGCACCTACAAATTTCATGCACGTGGATACTTTGCTCCCAGTTTTAAGAAGGTTCTACCAAAGCACCTCTGAAGCTCCCTCACTGCAGCGTGGTGGCATTCCCCATGCACAGAAAGCATCAAGCACTTCCAAATTCATCCATGTTGATGATGTTCCTTCTTTTGAAGGAAGAGGAACAAGGCAGGAACGTAGGAAAATAAGCTCTCCAGGACAGGCAGCAGCAAAGTCTTGGAATGAGCTCACCTTGCAAAATGGATGATGACCTACAAGGCAGGTGGGTTTCTTTGAAATTGAAAGGTACAGAAGAAAGGAAGGGAAAAAAGAGCTATAACTCAGCAGTCACAAGGCAAATCCCACACAATTACCTGTCTATCTCTGCTCTTTTTGCTATACTCTTCATACATTTTTATGAATTTTTTTTTAATTTGCAGACTTACTGTACAAGTCCTTGAATTGATGTCATGAGGCCTTTATTTCACTGGCATACATAAAACCTATTTTCCCGTGATAGTTAATTGATGCTGCACAAATGAAGAAGCGAAGCAGGGCATGTGGGTGTTTAAAAGGAAGCATAGCATGCGGGAACTGTCATGCATTTGAGCTCGCTAGAACATCCCCAGCCCGCCCTCTCCATCAAGAAAAATGTATTAGTTGACGAAAAGATCTGTCAACTTACTGCTGAAACGCTTTAGAGGTGTCTGCTTTCAAACACTGCGCAACGCGATTACAGCAACTTGCCTCTCGCTACAGTTCAGCAATCAGGGCTGAAGGTCCTTGTGGAAGGACCTGGAAGGAAGAGAGGGGCTGCACTGTCAACCAGAGCTCAAAGGGCTAAGATACTTGCAGATCCTGATACGCTCCACAGCAGGGGGAAGTCTGGCCCTTTCTCCTGAGGGGTTTCCATAAGTAAATCTCAACTACTCAGTGTGGTTGCTAGTAGCCAAGAGATTATTTTTAATGCAACGATTGTTATGAACACAAATGGCCAAAGTCCTAAATTGGAATAAAGACTTGGTCTGTCCTCCATGTGCTCCTGGTGGCACACTGTATGTTGGTGAGCCTCTGTAGCTGTGTCTCCACACGTGTCACAAGACAGTCACCACTTTCCTGTTTTTACACAGCACTCTGAAACCTAAGGAAAGTCCTGCTCAGAAGAACCAACACTGCCAAACCTGCTCTTCATCAGGAAGCACATAGTTTCAGAACCACATTTCTGTTCCACAGATCACCTTCTACCTGTCACTTGCTCTTTTTGAGCATTTTACCTAACCTTCCTAGCATCTTGCCATTTAGCCACATGTTGTGCTGTGGGGGACACAGGCAGCTCCCTTTAGCACCATTACTTTGCACTAACAGTGCTTTATGCTTCAGTAAGCTGCTACAGCAGTATGTGCTCTTTGACAACCATTTGTGAGTGACGGAAAAGCTCCTTCTGCATTTCTCTCAAGAGCTCTATCCTACTCTTTGGTGAGAGAGCTTTCCTCCAAAATCTGGTCTATCTCCTTCACAGGTTGTTGGACACCACTTTGCTTCGGCCAGCTAATGCGTTAAATATCTGCTAGAAACACTGAATGGTAGCACCACCAAATCCCCTGAAAGTAGCTCCTTTTTAGAATGTTTATAGGGTGTTAACTAGACTTCGCATCCTGAAAGCCATATAAGAGAAACATGATTTTAAAGGTGGAAAAAGTCACCAGCAATACCTAAGGCAACATTAAGGAGACAAGCAAGTAGTTCTAAGACCCCCTCTCCAACCATTTTTCTATCCCTCAACAACAGAGAGATAGGCTTGATGAAGAGGATGACTACGGAGAGGTCACGTCCTCTTGACTGCCATGCCTGCAGACTCCCAATGGGTAACGGAGGAACTCCCTGTAGGTTGTCCAATGGATCCACCAACATAGCAGTACCAGCTAAGGTTGGGGGGAACTGGATGGACCAGTTCTACTCTTCTAAGGCAGCTTCTAGGAAAACATTGACCATAATAAACTGAATTAAACGTTTCAAGATCTTTGAAATCTGCAGATGGGCAGACAACAAAGTGAGAACAGTTCTGCTCTAGAAGCTAATTCACACTCCTCCTGGCACAGAAAAGTCCCACAGACACAACAAAGTGTAGTTAAGTTAGCAACTGACTCAGGACAGCTGGGATTTGGGTCTCGCCTGCCTCTCCTTCAGCAAGCTTGTCACCTTTACTTGCCTCTGCCTTTCTAACTGCAACTTTAACCAAAGCAAAGCGGCCTCTGAAGCCAGCAAAGGCTGTGTTTCTGGAGACGTCCCACGCTCAGAAAGAGCAGAGCAGCCTCCAGCAAGCCCCGTCAGCAGCTGCATCAGGTTCGAGGCAGCACAGCCTGCCTGTCAGGGTCTATCCAAGCTTCACCCCTCCTGACAAAGGCAAACGCTGCCTCAGGCCAAGGTCCTGCCCTGTGCCCAGTGCCCCAAAAAATGGCTCGTTGCTGACATCAGCCCAGAGCCATGTTAGAATCAAGCCAGCAGAGAGGGGCTGAAAAAAGCAGCGCTGCAGGACACGTTTTGCGGAGCAATCTAGCTGCTGACCTCCTTCTTTACGGAAACCACTCTGCAGCTTGCCAGAGCTGACACAGTGCTCACCGCTTGGAGAGTCTCAGACACTGCTAAGGGCATCTGTAGGTGTGGCTGACACTCCAAGGTTGATCTTGGGGCTTTTGCGTGCCCCATCTCTGACTCCAAATGGCCTTTTGGCCCCATGTCCACTTATAACTTATTAATTCCCACTGCCTTGAAGACATGGCAAAGCAGGATGGAAGGTGGCACATTTTCTAGGGGGTATCAGCAGCAAAGCTCCTCCGCTCACAACTGCAGTGATGACAAGGTGGAGTTCAGCAGGCAGCCACAGACAGTCCCCATCACCAGCTGCTGGTTTAAGCCAATGTGAAACTTCCAGTTTCTGTTACTTTTGTGTAAAATATACAGATTCAAAGAAATTCACTCTAGACTGAGACCTAGAAAGAAAATACAGACTAAATGGACTACCACCCTTTCAATTAAACTGAGACTTACTACAATCTGTTGACAACCCACTAACAAGGCCGATGCACCTTCTCTCACCAAACTCTGGTCTCAAACCTGGTTTAGCAGCTGGCCACCCCTCCATCACCTGCATTTCCCATTCCCAGCTTCCAGGAAAGCAAAGTCTCTCACTTCAAGCCCAGTGTACCCACCAAGTACCACTGTCAAAAGACATTCAGCACGGGCTCACATCGTATGGCACCAACCAGCAGCTGAAGACACTGCCAACTTTCCTCTTCATCTATATGGATGTAAATCAGAACCCAAACAAGCTCCTTCTACCTGCTCTCAGGCCAGATATGATCTAAGACACAGAGTAGAGGGTTCAGTTTGTAGACGAGTGTGTAGATGAGAAAAAACGCACTGTCTCCTGAGATGGAGAATGATGGCACTGCATTTGAAATAAGCCATGGTCCATTTGGGATTCTGCACATCAGGGCTACCTGGAGGTTTAAAGCTGCCAATAGAAGAGAGAGGGCTGTATGTGTCCAGCTAATACATTTGACCGTTATGCTGAATGGCACAGATTGCTATGACAAGACATCTATAGATGAAGGTGCAGCCACCAGCTCATCCACAACCCCATGGGAGAAGAAGAGAGAGCTGTGGTCTCCCCTCCAAGGATCACAGCTGTGGGGAGAATCTCCTTCCTGCTCCTGGCATCCAAAAGGACATAGGGAACATGGGATGCATCCTACACCCTGAGAACAACACGGAACTAGCACCCTCAGGAGAGAGGTCATCTGGAAGTGCTGATCTTTCTCTAGCAACTCTTAAAGCTGCCTGAGTAACCAGCTTGGACCAGATGCCTGACCTTTAGAGAGCTAAACCTGATGTGAAGTTTCAGTCGAGCCAAGAGTCCCTTCCTTGCCTAGTTGTTTTGTCTCCTCCCTTGCCCTGATCACCTTCCCTATTCAGCGATGCTCAGACCACTGGCAAGTTCTGCAAGATCTAAGACAAAAAAGGAAAGAAAAAAAAAAAAAAAGAAGAAGAAGAACGGTCCTTACTTGTAAGCAGAAATCATTCCTCCTCTTTCTAACCTCATGAAGAGACTAAAAGAGACCACTTTCCCCTTCTCTGGATTTGGAGGTCCGAGTCAAGGCAAGAAGATGAGCCAAAGAACTGATGAAAGGATGAATAAAACCTTCCCAAGGATTCCTCCACCTGTGAAAGGAGGTGAGCTGATGAGAAGAGCAGCAGTGGTGGGCACGTTGCAATGCAGCATTTTAAAACACGTGTAATTCAACAGCACCTGGATGGATTTGACTCACGCTCTTTCATTCTGCCTCTGCTTCATGACACATTTGCCTGCCCAAGGGAGCATCTGCAGTTAACTCTTCCTCCACCACAACAGGAAGGACAAAGCCTCCCCAAGACTGAGGCATGCCAGAATATCCACATTCCCAGCTTTGCCAGGCAGGTTCCCTCCAGGGTGAAGATGCAGTCACTCAGAATAGGGTCTTTACATGCCCCAGTTGCCCTCGGGATGCATTTCTCTCCCTCCATCAGTAACGGGAAGCCCTGGGGCACCAGCCAGTTAATTCATAGCCTAAAGCGGAGTAACAGGTGAGTTCTCCATAAGCTTTCTGTGCCTCAGCTCCCAGCCGGCATGATGGGGAGAAGAGCTCAAGCCCTCTCACAGCCAAATTCCACCCCACACCTTGGCAACCCGGCCACATGGGATCGGGCCTCCCCGGGCTCGGCACGGCAGTGTGACAAGGAAGGAGCTGGCAATGGGTCCCCAGGCAGCCAACCCAACTCCAGCAGAGGACAGGGACACATTGCTAAGTCTGCTGCGGAACCTTGCTTGTCATCCTCGCCATCCCAGGATTCCAGGAGAAATTTTGTCTGATATATAGGCTTAAGAAGCCACTGGCAAATGTTCCCGCTTGCACATTTTCCCCTTTCCTTCTCAAGTAGGATTCTAATAAATATCCAGCAAACAAAACTAAAATCCAGAAGATCATTTTTCCCAACTTGAAAGTTAATCACAGAGGTCCCAATGGCTCCAGATGGCTCAATCCCAAAGCTGGAACTTTGGGAGTCAGCAGCTTAAATCATTATCTTTCCAGACAGCTTAAAACAAGAAGATAAATAATTTGGGGCAAATTTTCTCGGCCCATAGAGAAGGGAGAGAATATCCCTCTTCTGCTTCTTTGCCTTCTTCCTGCAAAAAGCTGCTGCAGAAATTCTTTCAACAGATTTCACAGAGACTGCTGTGCTTTGACTCTTTCTCAGTGCTAGAAAAAACATATTTTCAGAGCTCCTATATTTCATTAGGCAGCCTGAGCTCAGACACAAGTTGTCTGCTCCCACACTAGACAGGCAAGGTTGGAGATAATGAATTCTCTTGGCTCACCGGGATTCAAGAGGGTTCATCTCAAGCAGCCCATCTTTCAGACTCTGACACCGCAAACTTCCCTGCGATTCTCAACATGACTGTTGGCCGCACACCTCTGCTGCAAGGGCTTCACTGAGATGAGAGCAACAGAACAAAGCCAGCCTCAAAACTGTGTTAAAATAAACATCTCCCGAGACTCCAGACTTCAGCTCCTGCTGACATTGAATTGCAAATGGAGATGTATTAATTCACGTATTTCCTTTTCCTGCAACAGATCTACCTGCCAGTGGCTATATGAGGAAAGTCAGTAAAAAAATACTCTAAAATTCATGAGTTTGAGAAGGCAGCGGAGCCATCTCAGCACCCCTGGTGAGTGCTCTCCCAGAGACTTGGTGTGTCCCTCTCTGCAGCACTTTTGCTACCAAAGCGCTTCACGCTCAGGCCACCTCCAGGACCCCTGTGGTCAGGTCAGGATATGCAGGAGGTCACCCTCGTTCCTGCATGTGTTGTGTAAGACAAGAGAAAACGCGAGTCCATCCCTGCTGGATGCCGAACTGGATTACGGTGTGTAGGAGGATGAGTCCAAATGCTGCTGTGTCACGATGTGCTTTGTGCTTCTACCTCTTCTGGCAGAAGCTTCCAAGCATCTCTTGCAAGGTGCTCCATGTCCATGGCCAACCTGGGAAGGGAACATCCACCTGGTCCTCGCCTGGGGTCTTCATCCCAGCAGCATCTCCACTCCTCTGCCTCCTCTGAGCACTGCTACGGTGCAGGACAGGACCAGGCACCCCGCCACCAATCACCAATGCTGGGTCTGATCATTCCTGCTGAGGAACAAACGGACCAGCTTCCCGAAAGCTCCTCCCTGGAGCCAAATGTCCCTCCTGCAGGACAACACGGGCAGAAGGACAAGCGGAGCGCGGCGCCGGCAAGGGAGGTCAAAGCTTTGTGTTCGCAGCACTTGGGCAGACGCCGAGCGCTGAAGCCAGGCGCCGCTGAGCACATCCAGCTCTCTCAGCTTTCACAGCAAGACACGGCAGGAGACACTGCTGTCGGTGGAAATCCTCCAAGCTTAGCTCACCTCAAGCAGCCAGGACCGCCCTGCTAATACTGCTCTCCTCCCCGTCTCTGCTCCTGGAGCTTTCCTCCAGCTACTGCCCACTTATCTTATCACTACGGGGTTATTAGGAGCCTGACGACTTATGAAAAGTCAAACTTTCCAACAGCTGGCTGACAAGCGGCTCAGTTCGCCCATGCACCACGGGAAGGCAGCCTAGCAAACTACAGGCTACCCCTGCTAGGGAAGTCAACCAATCTGATTAAATGCACTTTTCCACGTGAAGCTAGACAAACAAGCAGTATCTGCACTAAAGTGCATATTGTAAGAAGTTTCAAGGCAACCAGACTGTTTGCAGGAGCTCCACATGCAACGTCACAGCCAGGCAATGCCAGGAGCGCCGAAGGCAATGAAGTCTCCTTGCAGGGAACAAGAAACCATTCAGTGGCTCCCAAAGGGCCAAGGAAATCTGGGAAAATAGAAAGTCTGCACTTGAACTGGGCATTTCTTGGCAGTGCACCGGAGCAGGCTGAACCTGCAAGTAATCCCAGCTCTGGACCGATGTTAACATCTACATCTCTCCAGTCCACAGGAGGACTTCACCTTGCTGCCTAGCAGATGGAAAAGCTAGGGTTAAAACATAAGAAAAGCAGGTTAAGTAACTTGCCCAAGGCCATGCGGCAAGCCAGTGGCAAGGCAGGAGTCCTGAGAGGCATTGGGCAACACGGCAGCTCTCACACCGCTGGGCTTGCCCGTCCCCAGCACAAAAGGCTCTGCTCATTTTCCTTGATTTCCCACTGGCTGTGACAGCAGATCAGCACAGAACATCCATTCCTGGGGGGATATCCATATGACATCCCTTTCCTCTTAAAAACATAACTATTTGTTTTCTCCTAAAAATAAATAAATAAATAAATAAATATCAGACAGGTAATAATAAGTAAATATCATGAACTTGCATTTAACTTTTACTTAGTGGATTTAGTGGATCTTTGATTGTGGATGGCAAGGAAGCAGCAGAGGATCACCAGGATGTTTGGGGCCTCCCAAGAACATCTTTCCACATGCTAGCGAGCTACCTGGGGACTTGATGCGTCAGCGATGAGGATTTGTATTTAATACCTCTTGGTGCATTTTTTTGGCTTTGTTTTGGTTTCTTCTTTGAATCTGCCCGATTAACTTTTGAAACTACAGCGAATTTTAGTGCCCACAACATGCTCTGGCCAGGAGTCGCACAGCCCGGTAATGTGGCCTCCCGCACCGGGGGGGCGAGAATCAGATCTGCAGAGAACAAGAACCAGCCGCGGCCTCCAGCTCTGTCAGCCCAGCCTGCCGCAGCACAGCGCTCCCCGCATCACCCCCTGCTTTGCTACCTCCTCCCTTAATCAATCTTTGGCAGCACACGGTCTCCAGAATGCACAAACTCATGACCACAGTGGGTTCATGCACTGTTGGACCCAGCCCAGGGAACACAGGTGACCTTCTCCTCCTGTGCTTAACGTGAACCCTGAACTGCCCTCCATTCATAGGGCACAGCAGGCTGTAACTGGTGGTGTTTGCTCTTTTCCTAATTTGATGATTAGGAGTGAGGGCAACAGCTTCTCCCCAGAAAGGAGGAGCACCAAGAGCTACCAACCAATTAAGGAAAAGGAGGCTATTTAAAATATAGCTCATGAAATACATTTCTCCAGGCTCACTGTCATCCACTCTAGCTTTGGTCAGCTTTGATGACCCTACAGCAGTGCAGAACCTCGTTGGCTTTGATGATCCTACAGCAATGAAGAACTTGACCCACATATTATTTATTATTTTTATATTATGCGTGTATTATTGTTTTCTAAACTTGACCACTCATTTAACGAGAAAGGTTAAAATTACAGACAACATTAATGTCATCACTGACAAAACGGAAAGAAGACAGCACCCATGGATGGCTCATTAAATGGCAGTGACACCCTGTGCTCACTGACAAGAGATTTAAACCTTCGGCCTAAGTGCTCACATGGATGATCAGAGGGAGCAGGAGTCAAAGCATCTGCCATTGGTGCTCAGAGTTGAAATCACCTCAGTGCTGCCAGTCAAAACCCCATGGACTTGCTATGAAACAGGCAAACTGCTTTGCACAAAGTTTTCATTGCAAAACTTGGCACAGGGGAAGAACGGGGATTAGGCAAGACTGAATTTTAACAGTAGGAATGACCCTGAAGTGTTTTCTCTACAGACACAGCAGCTCTGGTGGTTTAAATCATGGCTAAACAAAGTCCCCAGGCTTCCAATCTCCAGAGGGAAAAAAATAAAAATAAATTTAAAAAAACACCCAACACCCATTTCAATGCTCAAAAGTTAGAAAAACAGCAGCTTCCTCCATACAGTAAGAGAGAGAGAGGTGGCAGAAAGCCCCTGCATTCCTCCTTTGGCACTCGGCTCACAAGTCCTTCCCGGTCTGCGCATCGTGCTTTCCAGACAACCCCCACGCTTCCCCCCACATGTGGGTGCACGCGGGTCACTGAGCAGACGCTGAACGTATTCCAGAAAGCTTTGCCAGCTGGCTTGCAATAGGGCTCTGGCTGGGAGAGGACCTCCAACTTCAACCACTGAGCTCTCGTACTGCTTTGGGATGCTCCGAAACGGCAGCAACTACAGAGAGCACCAAGTGGCCGGACTGTAAGGTTAGGAATGTAAAGAGAAAGTTATGATAACCGTGTATCAGCAGCCATGCCGATGGCTGACAGATTTATCGGACAAGGACATTGCCCGGTGAACCTCACCGGCAATACA